AAACGTATTATGTATATGCGCATGCGCAGAAAGTTTATAGCCTTAAGGTCCGGATTAAAGACTTTTGTACTGTATATACCTTATTCTATGCTTCGCTGGCAGTATTATTGGCAATCGAAAATTTTTCTTGTCTCCTGAAGACCAGTGTTCGTCCTCTCATTAAACCTTTTTCGTCAAGTACTGGACGAAAAGGTTTTATTCGCTGATTGTTTATTCCACCAAGAAATTCTTCTCGTTGGACAGTTTTTAAAACAGTTATTTTGCATGGCCGATTTCTTTCTCAGTTAGTTTACCAGAGCATGATGACGCTTTAGTTCTAAGATTAAAGTAAACCCTAAAAATCCAAGCAATTATTCTTATGAGTTTTTAATATGATGAAATTCTATGAAAGATTACTTCAATTTCTTTGCTTAAATGAGTTTCATTGCACCTTTTTCTCAGTTCATGAGTTATATTTTCATGATCACAGACCAATTTTTCAGATACCGTCTATAATATGAAAATTTTCTAGTTTTTTAAAATTTAATGCAAAAAGCAATTAAATATTGATTAATTAATGAGAGCAATTCTAAAATTTGAGAATATAAAAAATAAAAAAAATATTTTGAAATTTTAGTTGTGCATAAATAACGAAAACTAACTGCAGAAAATTCTATACTAGTATCCGCTGATTATTAAATTCACGACTTACTGTGTTCAAGTTTACGAGAACCAAAATAAATGCATACTAATGAATGGGAAAACCACCATTTATTAAACTTATCTCCGTCGCTTATTGAACTCACATTGGTGAGAGACCGATTCTTCAATACTAGAATATACTTGTCAAAGTTTTTAGTAATTCATCTATTTAATGTATTGTAGGCCATTGCTTAATCGTTCAAATATGTAATATTAAGCGTGTTTTTGCCTCGTATCTGAGACACTGTTTTCAGAATTCTTTGTCCGCACTTCAAAGGCGTAGAATTTCTGTATCTTAAAGTTAACCAAAATAAATCTGTAGAGCAGAGGGGAGGGGGGATTTCATAATTTCAGGGGATTAATGCAATCAGACTTGTATTACCTCTTATGTATTTAGTTTTGATTGATGAATCTAAAAACATACTTTCATTCATGTTTTGGTATTTATCAGCATTTTCTGTATTTTCTTGTTTAGTCTAGAAAACACATTAAAAAATAATCTAAATTTAAATAAATATAAATATATTTTTCAAATTTGAGAAAGGAGGAAGGATGATAATCTAGCAATGGGGAAAAGGGATGCATGGTGAAAAAAAAAAAAAAAAAAAAAGAGAATCACTGCTCTAGATGGGCATTGTATCCGAGGATTCCTTGTCGAATCTAGCTGATAGATGATGAAAGTGCAAATTTTGTATTACATCTTCCACATTTAAAATCTTCCTTTTCGAATAGATACTTAATGTTCACAGAGAGTTATCAAAAAATGTTCATAAAATTCTTCTAAGCATCACTATACATTAAGTATCTTTGAATGGACAGAAAGTGGTAATTGTAGACTGAAGAAAAAGCTTGATTACATGCTCGTAATCATGAAGAAGGAAAGTGAACAGACTAAGGTCAATCTTTTTGCTGGCTAGAAACGTTAATTTTGTAATTGGAATAAATCACTGGAAAAAGAATTTTTTTAATATGTTATGTATGTTTTAATATGTTTGTAACATATTGAAATGACAAGCTAAAAGGCTTAAGCGTGGAAGAAAAGGAAAAATTGTTAACAGATTTTTAATGTTCTCCGTAATTGCTGCCAGAAAGAAACTGTATTTAAACTGTTAATTTTCTAAACAGCTTTATGCAATTTGCTTAAAAGAGGAGTAGTGAGTTTATTAAGAACTAATAAAAATTGCCATAGCAAAAAGGGCAGAAAATTGCCAGATGTTGAAATCGCCAGATGCCAGATGTTGCTAAAAATATTTCTATTTTGTAGAGTATTTTTTTTTCATCAATTCTCGAAGTGTATGAAAAAAATTATATCGCCTGACAGATTGGAAGTGGGAAAAGAGAAATCCAATATTGTTCAGCAGAAATTGCATGGTGAGAAGGAAGAAGCGATCATTATTCAATTAATAATTGATAATATATATTTTACCTGAACTACCAAAGGAATACAAGCCACTCGAAATTTATAATATAGACGAAATTAGACTGCATTACAGAACATTACCAGGACACACATTAATATTTAAAATTGAAACACCGGATGATTTAAGAAACAAAAGAGTGAGCTAGTGTATTATTAACGTGTAGTATGCAACCAACAATTAAGAAGTTATTGACAAAAGCAGAAAACCTCGACGTTTTAAAGGAATCAAGATTTTACTTCTAATGTACCATAGCAATAAGAACTTACGGATGACAAATGGTATTTTAAACGTAGTATTTTCTTTTGAAATAGGGCACCGAGCTGAGAAATGGGGGGGGGAAGCTTTACCATTTACAATAATTAAATAACTATGCAGCACACACACATCTAATCTCTCTTTTTACAAAACATTAGTATCTCTTCCTGCAAATACAACTTCTCTAATATTTTTGTGCATCTTTCAAATCAGATGATGGTGGTTCAGTGAGTTCACTAATTTTAACACTTTTACATTTTTAACAATATTTTAATCACTATATACAGAGCGTATTCTTAGGCCGCCGCCTTCGACATGAACAAACTTTATTCTCTTTTAACTATGCGAGCAACAGCGCCCTCTAGTGGTCTTTCAAATTACATAACAACTTCTAACATTCCTTTAATTTTAAGCATTAAAGCTTTTAAATGTCATTACAGAAAAGATGTATAGAAAATGATGAACTGAATTTTGTGAAAATGGAGGCACTTAAAAGGAGATAAGTAGGTCGATATCTCTGCTAGAAGCTATGCGTAATGTAGTCAATGCAGAGATTTATTCTCTTAAAATCAGTTAAAAACTGTTATAGAAAGTACGGCTTTTATATAGAAGAAATCTCAGAGAAATTGCAAACTATAGCTAATACGTCAGATGAAAATAAGGGAAGTATTCGTTTTTAGAATATGTATCAATTTACAACAATATTGAGATAGATTGTTTAAGAATTAATTTCGAAAGTGTTAAAAATGTGCGAAAGAGATACCGAAGAAAACCGATGACATGGCATCGTCAATCGAATGTAGAAAAGTATGCAAATTGTAAGGAAGTTCTTGAACTGAAGGAGCTGATAAAAAAAAAAAAAAAAAAAAAAAAAAAAGACTATCAGCAGTTTTACAAAACTGAGAATGCAATTGACAAATTGTTGTTGACGCAATATGAAACAAACACGGAGAATAGTTGCTTGTCAGCGATAAAATTTCAGTAAGAACGTACCGTATATACCCATGTATAAGTCGACCCCCTCCCACTTCGACATAAAAAATTCGTAGAAAATAAGAAACCCGCTTATAAGTCGACCCCCACATTTCCGAAATCGATCGAGAAACTTCGAAAAAAATTTTTTTAAGTACTACATTTATTCAAAATCATCTGAGAAAAAAAAAAAAAAAAAAAAAAAAAAGTAAGTATACGATAAAAAATACCTTGGTAAATAAACAAAATCAAAATCCTTCTTCTAGAATTTGTTCCGGAAATTCTAGAATTCTAGAATTAAAATTCTAGATTTTGTTCCGGAAAAGATTCGCGTACGTAAAATCTATTTGCATTTCCCCTTTTTAAAAGTTAAAAGAAATATTCAAAACTGTTCAGTTATTGCGTGGGCTATTTTTTTAAATTTTGACTTGTACGCCTGTTAACAAAAGTATTTCATGAATGAACAATAACTATTATAAAGACTTATACGTACGTTTTATCGAAACTTACTCTGTGAAAGTATGAAACTCTGTGATTAGTTCGTCACATAATTTAAGTCATGAAATTACTGCAAGTAAGTGACTTATTTGATAAGTCGTCCAATTTGAGTGCGGGAAGAAAACAACTGCATTACATAAAGAAATTTTTGAACTTCCGATTATTTTAATTTTTCATGGCCCCGCGTATAAGTCGACCCCCCCACTTTGAAGTCTATTTTTTGTCCAAAATATCTCGACTTATACGCGGGTATATACGGTATATTTTCAATGAATATATTTATTCCATTTTGCGCAGAAGACTTCTGAAAAAATGGACTTCCATTTTAACATAAAAAATATAAGAAAGTAAGTTTGATACAATCCTCTTCATGTTATTACCCTACTTTATCTTGCAACTTTTCAAATCTTTTTCTTTTTTTAGTTCAAAGGGCAATTTGCCCTGAAGGACTATTGATTTCGTTTTGGCATTTTGCATTGAAAACTTTAAAAGGCTGTATCACTTTTCAAATCGTTGCCACCATATATTATCTCTCTGTCTTACATTTAAAGAAATTAAATGATGAAGAATCTGCATAAATGTATGTATATTTCTCGCATTGTGATAAAACAACGGTACCTATAGCCATCAAAATTTGGATGAGGTAATCTTCCATAGAATATGGGCACGATTATTTTAATTTTTTATGGCCCCGCGTATAAGTCGACCCCCCCACTTTGAAGTCTTTTTTTTTTGTCCAAAATATCTCGACTTATACGCGGGTATATACGGTAATTACAGAAATATTTTTTATAAAATATTTCAAAATTGCGTACATAGTTTAATTTTAGTAGTAATTTTTAATTATTATTTTAGGATTAATTAATAAATTAACTGTTGTAATTTTGCTTGAAAAGTGTGAAGCTAATATCGCGGTTGGCAATGCACAAATCTCCGTCTATTAAACTCATCTGCTTAATAATACATACTTTGGAAAGGAAGTGATTTTAATAAATGAAGCATACTGTATAAACAATATGTGACTGAAAAACAAAAATTGAATTAAATATGAAATATGTTATTGTGAATATATATTGCACAATATAGTACTGATTTTTCAATGCTGTGTGTTAGGATTCAACTAAATTTATTTGAAGACAATTTTATTTGAATGTAAAAACAATTTTAATTAAATTAAAATTGAATTGTTTTGGTTTCGCTGAAAAGAGATAGTTTGTTAGAAATGTCCTGACATAAAATATCCGGCAAATAGGATTATAAATATTATGATTTATTTACTTTTATGTTAGAAATTCATTCCAATCGTGAGATTGTTTCAGAATTGTAACTTTCTTGTTGATTTTCCATAAATGAACTAAAGCTTTTTTTTAACTGATATTAGTTGCCTACCTGTCGGGAATTTTGAGTTATTAGAGCTCTGGGTTTAATCTTTGTGTCTGAAGAATATATCATTTATTTTTGGAATATATTATTTAATTGAACCGGAGACCTCCTAAATGATTAATTTTTTTAAGTGATAGTGATAACATTAAAAATTATGAGTGCATCTATTAAACAGAAGTTTTTTTTCACAATTTAATAATGTAATAGTACCATCTAATCAGACACTTCTATTTACAATTCGGAGTGTAAGATTTAGGTATTTTATTGAATATTGCTCTGCGCGATGTTCATAACGTTTCCAATTTGTGATAACATTTTCTGCATATTTGCTTTCTTTTTTCCACTTGTAAGTAAACCATCATTTAAAGCAGAAAGTGGGTAGATATTTCTTTCATTTGTTGAGGAAGTTGCTCTAATCTCACTAACTGACTCTGAATTGAGAGTATCTGGAGCAATTTCTGTGCACTTTCTGTCGCAAGCCATGTTTGAAGAAAAAACATTTTCTCCAAACTTGAATCTATCATCGACGCTTCCTAAGATCTCGATCAGCGACTTCAGTTTCTCGGTAATTTCTTGAACATAGCTGTGTATTTTTTCAGATTTCTTTTCCATTTCTTTATTAAAGTGATCAATCTTGTCTAAACAAGTTCTTACCATGATTGGAAGTAAGTTTACATGATTTTGATGTTGGTTTGATACATTTGTACTTGGCGTTAGGTCTCCAGAATGAAAGTTGTTTACTGAAATGTCCACGTTTTCAAGATTAAATGCTGTTGAAGTTCTTTCCGGCATGTCTAAAACTTCTGTCGTATTCTTATATCTCAACCAATCTTTCATAGTTCCAATCTGAGTGAATTGTTGTACGGTTTCTTGCAGTTGTACAACTCTAGAGTTCCATTCTTCCATTGTAACTTCGAGATTTCGTGTAACTTCTTCACAGTGTTCCGTATTCTTTTGATATCCTAGTTCAACCCTTCTATATATGTCATCAAACTGATCGTCAATGTTCTCTAGAGTGCTCTTTATTGCAGATATGTCGAAAATTTGTTTATTCACTGCTTCGAAAATTTCCCTAAGCCTTTTATCAGTTTCATCCAATCTGGCGGTCAAAAGTTTGCTTGTGTTTTCGTGAAACACGGCTACACAATGCATCGCATCCTGTCCTACAGTTAAAAATTGGTCATAATTTTCCTTTGCTTTCTCTGCGGCCACAGCGAGTGCCTGAATGATGGTGCTTTTAATGTCTTCTCTGTCCTGCTCGAGATGTGTAAAAATTGTTTTCATATCTCTTCTTTTGTCTTCCCTGTCACGAATTAATTGCTTTCTAGCTTCTCTCGTAACATCGTTTAAGCTTCTCTTGGCTGCAAGAATTATAGCTTTCACTGTTTCATTTTCGCCTACCTATAAAAAACATTAAAATGGCTTTAGATTGCATGTAGTTCTAGTAAACCTTACATACTTTTTCATATTTTTGTTTTATAAAGTACAATATGATGCCAATTGAACGCTATTCTATTTTTCAGTAAATTATGTTATGAAAACATTTTAAAGACTTTTTAAATTTTATTTAGTCTGTCTTGTATTCTATGTATTCATTATCACCGCATTGTAAACTGCTTGTTATATTGCAATTAGTGTAATCTTTTCTTGCCCACTTAAGTACAAATAATCTAATTCGTTAGGAAGCCTTGGAAATCATTACCTGCATGCATATTATCTACAGTTAAAACAGAGCCCCTTTACACTATTGATAACATCACGCTGTTTTGCCAAGCTTATTAATGAACAAAACAAGGGTTTCGCCCATTCGTCAAAAATGTCTTCTTTAGGGTACCAGTTTTCAAAAACATTGACATTGACTGTTGAGAATTAAAGATTGTTACTATTTCCGTGAAGATCTCTTCAGCTTATGAAAGGCATGGTTGAAAGCCGCACAAGTGCGTCAAATGATTGGTCAGATTTATTCTAATAATTAAAACGCATATGAACGTTGAAGGAATCAAGCTATCAGATAAGTAAGCGCAGTAAAAATAATCTAGTGCAATTCTTGTTGATGTAATTGCAACTATGTGGCAGCCTCTATTTATAATTGGACAATACAAAAATTCAATTTGAAAAGAATACTGAAATTTGCCTTTTTTTGATATCTTAGTAGCATTACATAAAAGTCAAGAGCTACTAAAGCGCTTTACCAAGGAATAAACTGCAAGAATAACATTTTTGCTATTCATTCATTGACATATCCTTATCGAATATAAGTATTTTTCGTAAACTGGACTACTAAACACTAGAAAAATGTTTTAAAATTATACATAATAAATTCCCAATTTATCGTTGAACCTGCAATTGTGATACTATTATAATCGAATTCTTGAACCGTTTGAGAGATTTCGATGAAATACAAAATTTAGTTTTCATAACTTTAAATGTTTTGTTTGAATAGAATCTGTACTTTAAAACTAAATTCGAAAGCTAAATTAACGATATTTAATTACATGTATTAATTAAACTATAAAGACTAGAAAAAGTCATAAATCAAACTAAATTTTTTAATTTTGATACTTTTAAATTTAAATGGAACAGATGATATTGTTTTCACAAGATGACAACTGGGCCCTCAAAATTCTTAGATTTATTTTTTCCGGGGGAGGGGGAGTAATTATAGTTGTCAAAGTGAAAGAAAATGGCCACATCCACGATTAATCAATAAAGTTGAATGCGGACTAAAAACTACGCCTATGGTATGCTTCGCGCAGACAACCATTTTCGTTAAAAGCATTTTAGGTACCGTAGAGAAACTAGAAGCGCATATTGTTCATGTTTTCCGTTTCTAAATATGTTATCAATTTTCAATTTATCAGCAGGTGAGAAGAATGCAAAAGTATTCTTTTACATAAAACAGCATTTTACCTCGCAGTATGCAAAAATGGTCACGAAAAATGCATCTGCATATTAACAATGAAGCATTTGCAGATGTAACATTAGAAGTTGTGGTCTCCTTTTTGCATAGGAAAATGTTCTGCTTAAAATAGTGTTTGTTCTGCATACATAGTATTGCAAATTATTTAATCTTGCACAGAACTCATGGCCATACAATAGTAGAAGAAGCAATTAAGTTTTATGCTTGGCAGTTTTCTTTCAAATGACCAGTTTTAATAGATAAGCACTTTTAGGTTTGGGGCGGAGGAGGCGATTCTTTAAGCCAGTAACTTATACTTTAATCGAAATCTCTCTAAAATGTTTTCTATAATAACTTAATCACTCACCAGCGATTTCGTTTGTGCCGAATGGTTTCGTTTCTTAGAAATCAACTCTGTCTCCGTTTGTGTCCAGCCAACCGTTAGATCCAGTGGTTCCAATTTATCATTGCATGATTCAGCATTCATCACTCCACTGGAATTTTTTAAGATAGCCTCTTGTTCTTCGCAGTGTTTCCAGAAGGCATGCTTCAGAGAATGAAATTCTTCCACTAAGGCATCTAGCTTCTGTTGGATGTTATTGAATCGACTTTCATTTCGGTGAATCTCTTCTTCGAAGGACTGCTGGAACCTTTCACAGATGCGATGGATTACGGATTCCAAATCATTTTCTAAATTTCTTGAGAAACCACTACATTCGTTGTTAATAGCCAGCACCATTTCTTTCATGTGTGCCCAGTCCTCTTTAGTCTGGGGAAGAAAAAACTATATTTATTTTAGTTCCAAATTTAAATTGCAAGTCAGTGCTCGTGGGTTTTTGTCGGAGACTTATTTTATTGATTAATCAGTAATAATCGAAAAACGAATTATTGTTTGCAATTTTGCTGTTATCGATTAATCATTGATTATTCGAAAGAAATTAACAATCAAGAACTTTTTTGATTGTATTTTTGATTTAGCGGCTAGAGTCTGATTCCCTACGAAGCGGATGGTCAGAGATTTGGACCTAACTCCTTGCCTCAAGTAATGAACTAGAGGTGGCGTCACTACTGCGACATTGCGCATCATTGTACTGTCACTAAATTCCAACTGAATTGGGGCATAAATGGTTAAATAGACCTTTCGAATGAATGTCAAATCAGCATTATTTTCAATTTTGAATTTTCTTACTTTTGCTTTTCAGTGGGTGTGGTGAGCTGTCTGTGCGTCATTCCTTATATTATGATGTGTCTTTTTCGGATGTTATGTAGGCACGAGTATTCGTCAAATGTGGTAGGAGAAAGTACACGCTTTTTTATACGTTTATAATTTATATTTCCTAATAGTGCAATGCAGTGTGAAGTCCTACAATACACTGAACTATTTCGGAATCCTGTAGTGGTACAGATACTTGAAAAAAAAAAAAAATCGAGTATTTTTAAATATTTTTGTTTCATTCTTTGATTTTACGATCTGTCGGTTTTTATTCAAAAACTATCGACACGGTTGGCTAATTTAGGTGTCATCCTTGATTCCTCAGAAGCATTAATCAGGTACCGCTCCCTTTCAAAGAACAGCGGATCGGGGTTTGTGATACATCGAATTTTAACTGGGACAGAAAATAGAAAAATAATTATTACTTCATAAGTTGTTCTTTTCAGTTCCTCTATTTCTTTCAGAAGAAGTTCCATGGGTGTTAACGGAGCAGGACCAATAATTTTTCTTCTTATGAATCTTGAAATCTACTTAAAAATAATACAGTGTATTAGTTAACATGCAAAATTAGAAAAGGGGGGGGGCACGAACATTGAAAATTAAATGAAATCAGACAATTAAGGATATTGTTAATTACAATTAAGGATTAAGAAAATAGGATCAAAAACCGTTCTTTACTTTATAAATTATTTTAATTTTTTCATAATATTCAAATATAAGTGCTCAAAATTGTCTTATGAAAAGGACTTCCTTTTTTAACTCGTTACCAAATTTATGAAATGGAGTTTGAATTCGTAACACATTTTGTGACCAATATTAATCAGTTCTGCATAGAAACAATTTTAAGTTGTTGAAAAATTACGTTTTTTTTTTTTTTCGTATGCATAAAATGGGATGTAAATATTTTGTTGAAATTAATAAATTTTTATTATTATTCTGATAAATAGATCTTAAGCTAGATTTATTATAATTTTCAATTATTTTGATTTAAGAAAACAGGTATGCTTAGATAGAAAGAGATACAACAATTTACGTTGCATTAACTTGAGCAAGTTACAATTGAGCACTTGCAAGAAATAATAAAAAAACTGCTCCAAATTAAAAATTTACACTAAAACGATTAACCAGCTCTTTCTCAATCCAACAAACATTTTCGAGCTCAAAGTTTAACATAATGAACTATCTCGAAATGACCAGTTCTTTTGAGAAGTAAATAAACATTGGTAATGTGTATGGCCTACCTAAAGAAAGAAAATTTCCAAAGAAGATTAAAACGATGAGTAGTCGGTTTAGAGAAAGTTCAGTTTATATTCTTCATGTGAGGTACCAGAATAATGCGCGTTCCTCTGATGCACCATAATATATCGGTTATTACTCCTTATCTTACATTTGACAAAGAACGCAAAGCTCGAAAACTGGAATTCGCGAAATCAAAACTGGAATTCCAAATGATAATAAAAGGAAATAAATTAAGCTGTAACTTGCAGCTTGAAGTACACGAGTTGGATAAAAGCAGTGGTAACTCATCCGCAGTCCTGAAAAAGACTTCAGTACCATAGGATGATATAAATATTTTCATTTCGCCAATATAATCGCTTACAGTATCTACCACCTTCTGCTAAATTATTAGATGGTGTCGTACAGCATCAACACACTCACTTCTATTAATTGAAATAACAAGCTGAAGAATAAATGGTGGAGATACAGAAGCAACAAGAATGAGCGTAAGTTGCATACATTTGTAGGACTTGTTCCGAAGGTGTGAACAGAACCTTCTCCTTCAGCCGAAGAAGGGAAAATGACGGGGGAAAAAACACATAAATCCACTATCAATTAGAATTAAAAATGTAAATTTTGGTTTTCACATATATTCGATTCCTTCCTACAAGGTTTAGCTTTAGATTTTTCTTAAGTGGTCAAACTTGTAATAAGCAGTATAAAGTTCTTATTTTCGAAAAGGAGATCTCTAAATGCTATCATATTAAAAGCGAAAAGCTCAAAACATGTTATAGATATATAACTAACAATAAATAATAAAAAGCAGTATTTTTATCATCCAGGATAAAAGAATTGCAAGTGCAAATCGTAAATTTCCAGCTCTTCAAACTAAATCTTTTTGTCTAATATTCAGTTCAACCGGGCGTGCTGTAGTGATGTAAGTGGTTAATATATACAGATAACAACTGGAAGATCTGTGATTCAAATCCCATTGAAAGCATAGTTGATTCTCAAGTAACAGTCACTACATCCTTACGTTTCTTTTTCAGAGCAAAAGGATTGGTTATCACGGCAGTATTGCAGTGCTGTTATGTTGATTGTATTTATCAGAAGAAGGACATAAGTACTTAAATCTATTATCTTTCACATGAAAAGTATCTCCAATGCAATGAAATAATTCCGTTTAATGATTAGAATCATTACCTGTATATATACGTAAACATACATCAAGAAAACACTTCATGAAACGCTTGAGAAAGTTTCCTGTATTATTATGGTACGTAGAAGATTCCTCTATTTGCTTTGATTGAACAAACATTAATAATTTAAACTTAAAAGCAAGGATACTCATTGCAAAGAAGTAATAAAATATGTAAAAAGCAGACAATTAAAAGAGAAGCCTTTAGGATTTGCTTTGAAAACTGCATTCAAGGTACAGTCGTTTATTCTATCTATTTAAATTGTAGAGACATTAGGTTATTTTGAAGCAAGAGGCATGAAAAAGCAAGAGGCATGAATTTGAAGCAAGAGGCATGAATGCCCTTGCCGCGTCTCGAACCACAGATCTCTCGAATACGCGCCGAGTGTGCCGAGTTGTGATCTCTCGAATACGTACCGAGTGTGCACGAAGGCATGCTAAGAAGGCGGAAGAAATACCTTATATACTTCCCTTTTAAAGGGCGACTGGAGATTGGGGACCCAATCGTTAAATCCTGGTGGTGGAGGATTATCATCCACCACCTTTTTTAGTTCTGTGCCACTATAGAGTCATTAGGATTTTTCAATATCAGGAAACTGAAGAAATAAGCAGTGCCCTCACCGGGACTCGAACCTCGGACCTCTTGAATATGCACCGAGTGTGCTGGTCATTACACCACGAAGGCATGTTAAGAAGGAGGGAGAAATATCTTATAAAATGAGCAATGAAATTAAACTTTTTTTTGCCAAAGCATTGTAACACTGTATTTCGATTTTATGTGCTCTATTGTTTCAGTTTAATTACCTCAATACTCTTTGGTTTCAATTTACTATGATAGTTACATATTCAATTATTAATCAATTATTAATTCAATTATAATTTTTAATATCATATAATATTTAAAACACAATTCTGTGCAATATTTATTAATATTATAAAGATAATGAAAACACTGTAATAAAATGCCACATTCGATATGAAATTGAACTTGGTGCCACTCAGACTGACTGCATTTCGTTTTAATGTCTTTCTCAGACGTGAGTAGAATTTCCAGATCTATCGAAATTTGGAAAAAATATAAACTCACCTTTTGGAAAAGTATCCATGCTATGAACAGTACTAAAACACCTGAAAAGAAAAAAAAAAAAAAAAATAATAATAATAATTCTTCACGTATATTAATGATCACATTTTATTAATTAATAGGTGCCAGGTCATAAACAGAAGTTTTAAATTACTTTGATATTACAGTAGAAAAGGGTGCGTGCAAAGTCACATCCTCGGAGCCATGTACAAATTATAAAATACACTAGTAATTTATTGCTGCGTTCATTTAGACGCAAATTTTAGGTCGAGTTTCGATGCTTTACGCTATGTTAAAAAAAGAAATATATATTTCTTAAGATGCATGTAAAAGAATTATTATGTAAAGTAAACTCGGATTTTTGGTTTAAGAAAAAAGATTGAATTTCCAAATTTTAAGTTTTCCCTCCTCGCCTGATTTGCATAGATAAGTAGTTTTGGTGTAAAACTGACAATGTTAAAATGTTTCAAAGAACATTAAAAAATTAGAAACGCTTTTTAATCGAATATGTTATTTCATCCTGGTAATATGTGATCTAAGGATTAGCAATTTCTAAGAGGACTGAAAGCCTGCTCTAAAGAATTTGTCTTAAGCCCTGTCTACATGAGGAGACATGTATCTGAACAAGTATCTCTGCACATCTGCGACAGGTGATGGCTGACAGAGGACGAGGGCACCTCGCTTCTACCAGAGATAAGCAGGTGCGTGTCCCTTTTCATCCACTATCCAGCGCTTATTGAAGAATTTAAGAAATTTGTTAAGATACATGGCCATACAGGGCTAGGTGACTGTACAATTTGGAATTAGAGGATGCAAGAAACATATTGCAATACCAGAGAGCATAAAGTGTAATGGAAATACAATAAACAAGTAGTACAGTATAAAAGTACATACGTAATAAATACCTCGTAAAATAAATTAGTAGTACTATATAAAAGTAAATGCAGTAGACAGGTGATGGAGAGCGAGGACACCTGGCTTCTAATAGAGGTAAGCAGGTATAAGTCCTACGTCCTCCTCTGGCTGAAAGCAACAACTCCCTGGAGCTCAGAGAGCATCCTTCGGGAGTTTAGACGAATAGAAATGCAGTAAGTTTACTGAAGTGCGTGGTTCGCCGTACACTGTGATTGGTGGTGCCGATCAGTGCCGATATTTGCTGGGGAAAAAATGATGTATAGAACGTGGGAAGCCAAATTTAAGGGCGGAGAAATGATTTACAAACATATATTTCTGTAAAAAAGGGCAGCCAATTTTAATTTGCTGGCCGACGGTCTAGAATTGGCATTGGTGCCGATTGCTGTTGATCTCAGCATGCATGTCCGAGCCTTTAAGTCATGAGTGCGTAAGCATGGGGTTGATAGGGCATTCATACTGTACTGGGCTGAAAGTTATACAATCACGTCCATAAATTAAGGATAATTCAGAATCACACAGAAATCGAACTCTAAAGGAAGAATTTCACCTTTAAAATTATCGCATACATCTTCAAGAATAATATGCAAATTATAGGAAGCCATCAGATGACACCGATAGTACTTCACAATGACGAGAGTGTATGAGAAATGTACTCGTATATGAGGAACGGTAAGAATAAAGTATAGCAAGTAAAATTCTTCACAAGCGTTCTGTAAGCCGCTCATTGCCACATAAGAATCGTCATGACACAGAGGACGCTTACGGATGATCTTTTACGTGGTAGAATTATCGGCCGTTTGGAATGTGAGCGTACTCAGATGGAAGTATCCGAAGAACTTGGAATAGTCCAAAGTGTCATCTCTAGCCTTTGGCAACGATTTCAAAATGATGAAAATTTCAGTAGACGTTACAATACAGGTCGCTCCCGAGTTACAACGTCGAATTTGGCAGTAACTGCCAAAAAAAAAAAACAGACAGAGCACAACATCAGACCTGTCTCATCAGCTATCTTCAGCCACGGGTACGTCAGTTTGAAGGCAAACTGTGTACAGACGTTTGCGACAGATTGGTCTATATGCTCGGAGGCGTGGTCAGATGTGTTCTGCTCATGGCAAGTCACTGTAGCCAGCGATTAGCCTGGAGTAGAGAACATGCAATGTGGACATCGTCACTCTTGGCTTGTGTGATGTTTTTCGACGAGTTTAGGTTCAGCTTGAAGTCTTGATTCACGTCGGACTTTCATATGGAGAACTACCCACTACCACCGAGACAACATCACTGAATGACACTGTTACGATGGTGCAGGATTGCTTGTTTGGGGCAGAATTATGCAAGACTTCAGAACAGATCTGCATGTTCAGATCTGAAACATGACAGGTCACATTTATCGGGACATCATTCTGGAACAACATGTGCGTTTGTTTAGGGGTGCTATGGACGCAGAATTTGTGTTTATGGATGACAACGTCCGTCCTAACCGTGCAAACATTGTAAAGGAATGACATCAATCTAAGGATATCACCCATACTGAATGACCAGCATTCTCCGCTGACTTGAACCAGATAGAACATGTGTGGGACATACTTGGCCCACGAATTGCAGCCCGTCAAACACCTCCGACATGTGACTGGAATTTCGGAGAGCATTGCTTGCTGAGTGGAGAAATCTTTCCCAAGATCGATTGATAAATTAATACTCTCTTGATAAATTGATACTCTCTTGATAAATGGATACTCACCAAGCCTAGGCTTTGTACAGACTGTATTTCGTTATCTGGAAGACATGTATTAACCATAATACCAGTCATGCAATGTTAAATTTTTATAAGGGTTTGTTTTTGTTCCCGGTGTAGCACGGCAAAGTCTTAGAGCGTTTAAAAATAAGCCTTTCGTTTAAACAGAACTTCGATCATAGGGGCACGACTTTGTGCTACAACTAAAAAGAACTTGTGGAAATGCAAATTAAAATAAAAACAATCTATTCAAATTAAATGTTGATCAGTAATTTAAGACTATACAGGTAAATACTGTTACGAATTTTGTATAAATGTAAATAATTTTATGGAAATTATATGTGAAATCGTATTATCTTTTGTATACTAAAACATGAAGTAACTTGAAAAAGCGAAGCTGTACCAAAAAAATAAGGTTACAGCGGTAAGTCTATTTAACACTGAGGTAAATGTTGTTAATTAACACTGAGGTCGCCTCGTATATTGGCGAGATATCGCCAAGCTGGTGATGGTTTTGGGAATTAATTTTTGTCTCCAAATTTGGCGAAAAATCGCCAAACTTTGGTCCCTGTATAACTGTAATTTGTACCGTAATTGATCCCTATATGTCTCTATATATAGCTCATAGATTTTTATTTCAGAGTTAATTTCGGAATATTGGGATACCTGCGTGTGAGCTTCGCTCTTTAGATGCGCTTTGCATTGTGTTGTGTTTAACATTCTTAATAGTTTCATGTGATGCTGTGAAGAGCTGTGCGAGGATTTTTGTGGAAAGTTCCAGAACTGTAAATTGTTTTTCTTGGTAAAAATAAATTTTATCAACTATCGTTGGTTCTGTGTGCATTCAATGCATTCCGAACCCGTACGCATGCAACAATACTAAGCTGTAAGCTGACTCAAAAACTTACGTAAGTTACTGAGCGTAAATTTAAAGCATCATTTAACGTAATTTAAAGTAAGTATCATTCCCTTCAATTTGAAGTATCCATGGCGAGAGAATGTAAAGTAAAGGTAGTTACGTTTAACTAGAGCTAGCAGAATACAGTAGCGATCATGTCAGAAACAACCTCTCCCAGGATCCAGAAATTCAACTTAAATACCAACCAACTAATTTGCGTTCTGCTGACGAATTCGGAAAGAAGAAGTTAAGGTAAATATCCAAATTATAAATAATTGCTTAGTCTAAAATAAGAATCTTCCAATATGTAGCTAGTGAATAATTAAATAAACATCATATTGAACACTTTTTAACTAAAATTGCATTTCGCTGTCAAATAGGCCGCCGCATAAGCCTTTGGCGACATTTAAAATTTGCACGTTACAGATTGTACGAGAAAATTTGTGAAATTTGGCCGCTTTAAGAAGAAAGTATCATTAAAATATGCAGTAATATCCCAACCAAATCCAAGCAATGTATTCGACACCGCAATTTCAGATCAACGTAACTATTTAATTGGACGCTATTTTTATATGTTATATTTGGCATAGACGATTTTCTTCATTATATAACATGTTTTTATAAAAAAGATAATTTGGAATGAAAATTGCTCATTGGCAATGGAAAACACATTTGGAGACTTTATGTAACTTCAGAAACCAGTCTCTTTCATATCCCACATATCCAGCAAAATTTAAGGTAATACAAAGTTCTAGTTGATATTTTTGAACAGGATTGTTTAGCAATTAGTTTTTCGAAAATTCTAAAGGAATGACCTACAAAAGCTATTTCAGTATAAAAATAATCTAACATCTATATTAGAAATGAAAAAAACTACAAATCCTCGAATTTATTCAACATTCTTGAAAAATCTTAATATTCGGGAAATTCAGAAAATGTTCTAAAATTCGAAGAATTTAGAAATCTCAAATTCGTCGGAATTCTCGCCGCCAGACCGCTAGAAAGCTATTGCCCTAGGCATAATATCTCGTGCTATTGGAGATGAGCAACATCCCAATTTATCAAGCCTTTTCCAAACTACAGGCGCTTTCCTGTTATTTTTTCTCATGATTAATCATAAAAACATTATGGTGGCTATACAAACGGATCTAAGAACAATTAACAGCAGAGTAATACGTCTCCCTCGGCTGCAAATTCAGTTTTCTTTCTCTTTTCTCTAAACCTGATTGTTTCACAAAAACTTTAACATAAACAATGGACTAAAACATATTTCGTATGAGTTATTCGCATAGTGTGTGAAACCTGAAAGTCTAAAACTATTATAATAATAACCACTACTCTGTAGGTTATAAATATGTACTATATTTGACTATTTTGAGTACTATATTTGAGTCTTAGATTTGCATTCTAGCTTTTAAAATCACTTTTTTATAGTAAAAATAAAGAGTCTTATGAATGTAGCAGCGCAGTCGCTAAAAAGTCTCTTATTAAAGTCACTAATAAGTCCCTAATTTCTTCATTTTTATGATATTCATTTTACTAATAAGTTTATACAATGTAGAATATATTTTACATTCTGATAACGCTGAAAATTAAGGTCACATGTTTTGGATTAAAAGTAATATTTACTGCCTTTTATTTACATTTCTCTCAAGTTATTTAAGCATAAATTTAAGTATAGTGTAAGATATCTTGCTCACAATGACAGGTTATGAAATGAACATGATGGAATCCAGCTAAAAAAGTTTCTAGAAATATAAATGATATTTGACTTACCACTTAAGAGAGAAGTGTAAAACAAACGATCAATTTCGCAACTTGTGCTTTGCGCTCCTATGGAAGGCCACATTTCTTAAAATTTAACCCATTTGAGAATTGCGGAAAAGCTATGATATGACACTTCCCGCAATCCTATTTACGGAAGCTATCTTTTTGCACTCGAGATGCTTATCGTTCTGCGAGATATATTTGAAAAATTTCCCAAATGATGCCATTATAAAAATTAAATATAATGCGAAAAATACTTGGAACTACTTACGTGTTTCTATTTAATTTCATTGATTTTCAGTATTGCTTTTCTGTTAAATTTTGGCAACATTTCAACTTCGAAAAAAATAGCTGTTATGTGCACTATTAAGTGACTTAAAACTGGAAACAAGTTTGCAACAGTTGTTCAGATCTAAATCGTTCTGAAAAAATATTAAGAACACGGTATTATAAACTTAAAGCACAAATATGTTTTCACAATTAATTAAATGCTTTATAAGAATTTGGTCTTCCCAATAAGTATTTAAAGTACTATATAAGCAGCATACGGCGATATTTACACTTAAAAGGTTAGATATTTCTTTCTCCTAATTTTTTATATTTGCTCCTTTGCCTTCAGTGAATTGTAGCATTTTGTATTAAGTAAACACTTGAATTTATAAAATTAGCAAATTATTTTATTACTGAGTTCTGGATAACCTCACTTAACTGAAATAGGAATCCATCTTCTTAACACAATGAACTTAACACATATACTATAAAAGCAACATTCAGACCAAACTTAGTTTCCACAGATATACAAAAATGTACAGGTATCGTCTGGAATTTTTCTCAAGCCGAAATGGCAGTAAAAGAAAGAGTAATTGCTATAATTTATATCAGCAAATTAGAGGCTTCTCAGATCTCGTAATGCATATTAAGGTCAAAATAAAAAGAAGTCACGCAATCTGTTTTTTCTAATTGTAACTTTACACCTTAAAGGGCGACTTTTACTGTTAAATATATTTTTATTGTAATATAATGTAAATATTAGATTTTTATAAACTACCACAACCACTGTAGTGGCAATCGCCAAATTTTCGGAATTCGCCAAAATCTGGAATCCATGTGCATAAAACATTCTGAAGTAATCTTTAGTAGTTTTAACAAGTAACATTGCCATTTTTGTATATTTTGTTTTCCAACGGTTTTTATCGACAAATTCCCACGGTTTTTATCGACAAATCGTGATATTTTTTGCATTAAACTCAATTTTAAACTAAGCAATAATGAAATTTGCCTGCATTGGGTCAGCTGAAAGAGGCAACATTAATTATCTTTCGTCCATTTGCGATGAATTTATTGAAATACCGAGCAAAATAATGTTAGAAGCATTCATGTCAGAAGTTAAATCGGCCAAATATTTTTCAATTGTAATAGACTTAACGCCGCTGTGCTCATCGTTCACAAATGAACACATAGAAAAGAACAAATATGAGTTGCCCATTGTGTAATGTTGGGTTATGCAAAAAATGCTTTACCTTGGACCATACGATGTAAAGTATATTTCATATAATAAAGTTTTCCAGAATAATAAGGTGTGCTTATAGTAAGTCGATCTCTACGTGTAAGACATATGTATCCCATTAACTACGGCTGGGACATATGTGTCCCAGCCGTTGTTGCCATTTGTCCATACCAAAAACCATTTGTCAAAAAAATCTCAAATGTTGAATTTGCCTTATTTATGACATATTTTGTTCACTTAGATAGAAAACGGGGTAAAATCGTTTTTAAAAAAATTCCTAGTCAAAAGATTATTTATATTGCGTTATGTATCAGAAGATGAAAGCCCAACAGAGATATTTCTTTTTTGATTTTTAACAATTTATTCGCACACAGGAAAATCATTAGAAAATCAAGTTTTAAAGAACCTTGAAATATTAGGTCTGGATGTTTGCAATTGCAGAGGACCAAATACAAGGGGCTCCAAAACCGCATTAAAAACATAGTCAAACAGCCCCATTACGTCCCTCGTGCTTCACATTCGTTAAATCTGATAGTAAGTAGTGCTAGTGAATCGTGTTTGCAAGCAATAATGTATTTTCAGTTATTGGAGAATATTTATACATATTTTTTTCGTTGTCATAGGTGGAACCCTTTAGAAAAAAGTTTTCAGCAAATACAGTACATTTACAATAAAAAAAATTATGTACTACTAGGTGGTCTTGTAGAGCTGATGCAGGTAAAGCATGGAATGCCGAGAAATAGCAAACATAATTAATAATTTAGACTTCCTTTTATTAACAGTTATTTAATATAAAATTCTTTCCAGAAATAAATGCAAATAGTATAATACCCTTACAAGAACCTACTATGCCAATCTCGTTTTCGGCAAGTATTTTTGGCAATTTATTTAATTACCTAATAGTTTTAAGAAATTTATATCTGGATATCGAAGCGGAGGCATTAAACGCGTCAAAAATAAAAACTTATTCCGATACTAATAAAAGGTCGCGAAAACGGAAATAATTTTTTCATACAGTTCATCATGAAGAGGAAGACAAATGTTCATGTAATCAGGGGCAGGAAACCTTTAAACGAAATTGCTCTTACGTAATATGGAACAAAATATCTTTTGAACTAAAACTATGTAACAAGAGTTACAAAGACATTAATGAGATTTTAAAAATATTTCATACAAACTCAAATGACAATGTATCAATTGAATCTGAAGAAGATACCACATTATTAAAAAATGGTACAGTGAAGACACTGATACAAGAAAACCTGGATGAGGAACTGTTACAATTTCTGTTACTTTGTAAAAGCCAAAATTTAACGTTGCCATCTGACATGCTACCAGTTATAAAGACTACAAAAATTGTATCGATATTTCCAAGTATGGAAATCATATTCCGTATATTTTTAATTTTGCCTGCATCGAATGCATGTGGTGAAAGATCGTTTTCGGTGTTAAAACGCGTAAAAAACTATTTAAGAAACTTATTAAGTCAAACAAAATTAACTTCTTCAGCTGTACTATACATAGAACAAAATGCGTAGGACAATTTTAATTACGAAGAAATAGTTGATAAATTTGCAGAATTGAAAGCCAGAAAAAAGGGTTTCTGAATTAATTTCATAATCATTTTTTTTCAAAACTATGCTTTTAATATTTAGCAGATAAATTTCATTTCCTTAATTTATGTCATACAAACAAAAAGTTCCAATTCTATTGATTATGTTGATACGTAATCAAACGCATGTTTATAATTATACTAACAATGGAAACTGTTTTAACAATTTTTGAAAAACTAATTAATTATGTTAATTATTATTATATATCTATCATTTTTTATTTATAAAACCCGGGGTGTAGGGACCCGGCAGGAAAAAATGTTTAGAGCCCTAAAATAGGTCAACCGTCCCTGATTCAAAGGATTCCGTTATCATCTTTATAGACTTAAAGAGTCTTAAACTATTTTTGCTAGCGTTGCCCAAAACACGTTCAGATTGAGTAGACCAGAAGAAAAAAAAAATTTTTTTTTGCTCTAGGAAGTTCTGTAGTAATATAAGGAAATCTTAAAATAACTGGTGGTTTCGCTTTTAAACTGAGCATCCATGCAATTATCCTTATAAATTTAGGATAAATTAAAAATCTGTTAAAAAAGTAAATCGTTATCACTTTCGTTGCATTATTTTCCGTACAAAGATTAGTCTTTTGCTTTTCCTTTTCGTTTTCCTTTTATTTGGGAGCAGGAATATTACAAGGCCAGTTCTGAGGAATACTGAACAATCATTTTGAATCCCCCCATTATTGGGATTTTAAAAGTTGTTTGTGTAAGACAATCTCTTGACAACAAATTTGTAGGATTCATACTGGTTCATGATTTCTTTGTTCTAAGAAACTAAGTTTCTTAATTTCTTTTACTCTGTTTATTTGATTTTTTTTTTTACCCAGGCTAAATTCAGGCAGTTACCCAGGCAGTTGAGTAAGTCCAGAAGTAAACTTCTTTGAGCTCATTTCTAATGAAAAGATGTAGAAGAATTCCAGTTAGTTCTAGCCGTCATGAGTTCATGCCATTAGAAGTATCAATATTTTTGAAGGAACAATTCTAGATTTCTCAATAAGAAGTTCATCGTAAACGTTTCCTACAAATTATAACTATTTTGATTGCATACGTTTTCATTAACTTTTTTTAATTCTATTTGAAGCTTAGTTTTAGGATAGCTTATTATTTTGGGGCATGAGATAAACATATTGGATTTTTCAAATTTCATCTCTGTATCAACAACATTCAAAAATGCTTATTTAAATGCTTAATTGAGAACGTTTTGTTGATTTAAGTACTTGCTGTGAAATAAAATCTGCACCTTTTTTAAACAAACATCCTTCTAATTAAAATGTTGCATGAAATATGCTTTTGAAAAATTTAATCTGGCAACTTGGTGAGAAGAAGTATATGAAAATTATATGCTTTCTATAACGACACTCTTGATTGCAGGAGATTCTAGTGTTTTGTGAAGATGGTCGTCTTAGCTACTGTTGAACGTCGATGCCGATTGATGCTCTCAAAGGCTCTCAGAAGCATAGATTACTTTCAGAGAGGATCGTCTTAGAGAAGAGTTCGCGAAGTCAAAACTTACTGTATTTGAAGATTCAGTTTGAAATAAATGGTGTAAAAAATTTTAACTGCATGTACAAGTGGAACTTGAAGCACATGCAGTTAAGACATGATTTTGAGATGCGACAAAAAGAAATATTAAAGTAAGAAAAATCTTATTATTAATATAATAGTTAACGGTGCCTTTAACAGTGAAGAGTGCCTTTAACAGTGAGAAATGCCTTTAACAATTTTTGTCAATTCATTGTAAAACTTTGTAATCATCCTTAATTTTATTTCAGTTTTCTGTTCTGTTTATTTTGCATTGTGTTCATACTTACTTCTGTAAGCCCCATGTGATACTATGTGGTACACGGGGAACTTATCGTGTTTCTTTAGAATCTGCAATACTGCGAAACACTTACAAGATGAAATACTATACTTCGAAACTATTTTGAAAAGTAACCTAATTCCTCATAAAATAATTAAAAATACCCTAAAAAAAGCTGGCATTACCCTTACCTATTTTTAGATTTTTTTGAATTAGATAATGATATTTTATGTCTAAAGCCCGAAGGACGGTTTAAGATGGATGACTGATTCAGAGAATCTAATGTAAAAATGTACAGATAATTCTTGTTTATACATTCTCTTTCCTCCAAAATTTTGGCACTTTACTTTTAAATACTATTGTGTAAATAGTTTTAAATTTCTATAATGGCCAATTTTACTGCTTTTAACAACAAATCGGGCCTTTTCGTTTTTCATAGTAGCTGATCGCCCGCTAGCTTGAAGAATTACGACTTTTTTTAACAAATGACTGTTTTTTCCTTTTACTCTTGCTTTTGTGGCCAAGTTTTGTAGTTTTAGCTGAATTAGCCATTTTCATTTTCAGTCACAATTTTTTTTTCTTCCAACTACATGTCAGACGCCATTTTTGAAAATCTTTTCACGTTTTTTCCGAGTTTTCCGACTCCCTTCGATAATTGGAGACGAGTTGCAGCTAACGGACAATCTTTTCGTATTGGCTGATGCCCACAGAACAACGCTCCTCCCTACATACGTCACACGACTGAAGTACACAGAAGGGAATTACAACTACTTTTCAACATAGTTTTAAGAGGGAGAGCTCTGCATCGCCACAGGTCAGTTTTTTGTTTCTTTTGTTACAACTTTTTCTTGGTCTTAGCAAGACCCACTTTGTTGGTTTTGATCTTAATTTTCTTTTATTTTAATTACAGATTTCTAAAATATATAAAATTATAAATCTTTAAGCTTGCAGGCCCAGCCCGTATGTTTTTGTATTTTTAGGACTAATAGCAGACCGCTATTTATTTTTGTTTTTATTTTATTTTTATTTTTATTTTAATTTTTATTTTAGTCTAGATTTAAGATGTATCGGAATAGTTTTTACATATTTTAACACCTTAATGTGTCATTTTGTGCGGACGCGTCGGGAAATTGGAACAGAGAATTGAGACTATTAAAATTTTCCAAGACACCTTGTCTAAATTAAAAAATTTTGTAGCGAAAAAGTTTCAATTGTCTGTTTCGGCGAAACGCGAAATGGGGTTAGCTTGATTCGACGTTCAAACAAATAAAATTTCCCTTGAAAAGCCAGTTTGGAAGTCGAGTTGGGCTAATTTACCATTTTCCGCTTACTTTTTTATCTGATTTTGTTTTTTAATGTTTTACATGTTAAATGGTTTGATTTTCATATGTATTAATTTTTTTTAAAACGTGTTGAACTTTTTGGAGGTAACTTTTAGGCGAGCTTACTACAATTTCTAATTTACTTACTTTGCAGCATATTGCGCAAGATGTTTTCTAGACCAAATTGGTCATTCAGTATTGTAATTACTACCTGCTTGATATATATATATATATATATCAAGCAAGGTATATATATATATAATAGTTATTTTATTACAAGCTATAAAATGCATTGCAGTTCAAAGAATAAAAATTTTATTACTTAGTATACGCACAAAGTAGTTTACATATTTTGTAATTCAATATTTTAATACTGGATTAAAAAATATGGAGCGGTACTGGCGATAGGATTTATTAATATCTAGTCTAGTTTGTCTGGTGCACTTGCTGCTTAGAGTCGTTTGTGATGCAATAGTCTCCCAGTCCTCAGTTTCGTTTTCTTGAGGGTAGATGATGGCCGTTTCAGTTGGAGACGGAACGTTTCTTCTTGTAGATATGCCACCAAGTGAAGTTTCTGATGCAATTGTTTCCCATTCTTCGCATTCTTTTCCCTGGGGATTCTGGAAAAAAAAATTATGTGAAAAATAATATATAAATCTAGTGAATAGGCGTCATGTATGTGCAACGATATTTGGCAATTATAGATTAATATTGAGCAGGATGCATGAAAAATCGAATGACAAAATTAAATACTCCTTTGTTTCTAAAATGGTCTGAGTCACAATGATTTGAATATAATCTAGTAGTTCATATTGGACCAAAATGCGTAAAAATGGGCGTGTAAAATTATCCAGTTATGAAATGCTATATTAATCATTACATCAAACATAGCATTGGAAATGAAAGTAACCATATTTGCCCTAATATAAGATCTTAAATAGAAGATAATCTAAACAAGAACCTGAATATTTGAAGACATTTATTAACAGAAAAATACAGAGGTCCGTATATAAGATGTTCTTAAGCTTATGAATATGTAGGGAGCAGGAAGGTTAATTAAATAATCTGAATATCATACCTTAATATGAAATTGATTCGATTACTGCTTTCGAATTATGTATAAGATTTTTCAGCTGTGAAACTGCGAATGGAAAGACAGGTACTATTCGCTTAAGAGTATATAAAGAAAATATGTATTGCATTATATTACGACCAGTAAGTTTGTCATGTTTATATTAATTAACCCATTACCTTATTATTTGAACTACTGCTTTTCGTTTGCTCTCACCAGGATGTAAATAAGCTACGAGTATTTGAGAACGGTGTTTTTAGAAGCTAGACAGATAGCATTGGCAGCGACGCTGACCTTCGTATTATTCACGTTATTCGGCCTTCGCTTTTCGTCAGTCGAGTTACGCGGCAGTTAATTTATATTTGATCAAAAGCTCGTTAAGCTTTCATCTTGTGATCCTCCAGAGTCAGTTGCTATTTAATTTTAGTTTACATTTTATGTTATCTTAAATTCGTAAGCTGCGAAGGTTAAACTATGAGCACAAACCACGCGCTTGTGGCTTATAAAGTTTTAAATGAAAAAGTTTGTTCTGTGTCTACAGTTGTTTCTGCCTGTCGTCGTGTTAACGAGTGTGTGGGCCTTCGGGCCACACACACGCACACAGACACAGCTCTCGCCATCGTCCACGGTACTCGATCTGATGTCCATTTTCATAAAATGGAGGAGAAAATATGTTCTTGTACGAAGAATATAAGAACTCAGGTAAACTTTACTGATTAGGCTGCGAGGTAAAAAATTGTTCCTGTGCTGTGACTCAACGTGTATAATCCTGACAATTGGATGTTTCGAAGTGACGACCATGTGCGCCAATTTCAAGCCTATCTGCCAGAAATTTGATCTCTTCTATCACGAGTAATTATTGCACTGCATATTAATTAAGCTTCTTGCAAGATGCTGATAAGTAATGGGCCTTTGATGTATCCAGATTAGGAATTGCAATATACCGTAAAAATGAACGCTGTGACAGTCCCGTAGGACTAACGAGTAGGACACGCCGAGGGGCATTCAAGAAAAGTGTATTTTTGTGATTTATATAGGCTAATCAAGAAAAGTGTGTTTTTGTGATTTATCTAGGCTAATCAAGAAAAGTGTGTTTTTGTGATTTATCTAGGTTAATCAAGAGATGTGTGTTTTTGTGATTTAATAAATGTATATTTAAAAGAGAGATACTGATTCATGCATGCCTTATTGGGTAAGTCATTTGATTCTTATTATTAATAATCATGCAATGTACTAACAACTAAAATTTTAGTTTAACTGTTACGCGGAATTAATTCGCATTTGATACTCTTAGTATAATTACTTTTATACGATCACGGCCAGCAACACCACACATGGATAGGGCATAAGTCGCCTGACAGTCTCCGTCAAGGCAACGAGTTAATTACTAATCAGAACCTTTAAGATACGAATTCATCATCATCATTATTATTTTTTTCTAAAACTGATATTGATCATTTTTAAAAACTAAACTATCCGAAATTGATTATTGCATTTATTTTGAATTTTGATTGCTATTCTTTCAATACTACAGCCAAAACCTTCTCCTGTATAGCTTTTAAAAAATCCATTAAATCTGTTCTTTTATGACATTTAAACGAACGCTAAAGAATTTATATTCTGAGTAATATTGTAATCTGCATCTCTTTTATTGATGACAATGTTTTTAAAGATTAGAGCATAACTTTTTGCTATAGCTGTTTAAATTTATTGTAGTTATCAGATTTAAAATAAAGCACGAGAAAGCATATATCAAATTTAGAAAGCTGCTTTTCATTTTTCCATATTTCATTAAACATCAAGAAACAAAATGTAAGCATTTATGATGGATTTTAAACAGTGATCACCATATTTGTAAAAGGCAAAACGGATCTGAGTGTTTGATACAACCGAGTGTCCAATTTTCGGGACCTAATCTTCTCAATGAATATTCGTTTTCATTGACTCAGCGATCAGTCGTTCCATTGACAACTGACATATCGTCTTATAAGTTTGGAATAAAATGTTTATTTTGTTTTATTTATTCTTATGTTTTCAATAAATGTTTCGAAAGGAAAGATATCAGTAAATTACCAGTAAACCGGTTTTAATTGGGAATTTTATGAGATTGTCGAAAACTGAAAATGTTGGTAAATTTACTTTTAATTTATTAAGAGATTCTTATACGTTGTATTATGAATAAAATTAACGGTAAAGTAATTGCACACACTTACTTCATTTGAAAGTCTTATAGATGTTGTGGATTCTGTCTCTGCAAGCGAATTCGGTGATTCCTTTTGGGATTGTCTATTCTGATTTCTCATAAAATAAAATAATTTTGTAGCATTTTCAAGAAAATTATCTCCTTGCCGAACATTTTCCTCTTTAGATTCTTGGATATTTCCTGTCTTTTCCTCACGTTTTACAACTGATTTAACGGTATCATTTATGTTCCGTTGTTCCTTTCCTAGTTGTGGAGAGTTTTGTTCTTCATGATTTCCTTGTGCATCACAATCTGTATCAATCAAGCAATTTTTATAAGCAGTTTCGCTGTCTGAAAGTTGACTTATTAGATGAGTGCATGCATCAGCTACGCTGTTAACCAGATCGAACACTATGTCCAGATTTACCGATGATTTCAGCATCCAGTACTCTTCTCTGTTTCGAGAAGAAAACATTACAGATAAATGATCCAGTTTTTCATTCAGTTCCGTAAAAAGCTGATTTAGAGGAAGAGTAGATAGTTCATTCTGTGTTATCGAATGCATGTCAGAAGTAAACTTCCCATCTTTCACAACATGACTGAACTTTTCCAAAATTCTTTCTAACTTCGCAATTTCTTCAACAGGGACTTTCGTAACAATATTCATCTTACTTGTTATATTCATCAGATTTATTTGAGCATCTTTGAGACGTTTAGCAGCTTTATCGTACTTTGTCCAGTCCTGCTCCAGGCTGGATTTCTGACTGATGTAATCGAACTTTTGGCTGAAGGATTTTAGAGCGTTGTGGATGGCTTCTATCTCTAGCTGTTGTTGGTCGAGGCGTCTAAGTGTCTCTTGCAAACTTTTTTCGACCTCTTGTGCTTGAAACAACATGGAAAATCGGCTTTCACCTTCTGTTAAGTGGTACTGAAAAGCCTCCAACAATCTCGCTACGTCCTTTCTTATGACATCACGATTTTGCTCAATACAAGTTAAGATACTCTTCAGCATTTTATTTCCTTTCTTTCTCCTTTCACAGTTGAGTTTAATGAAGACGTCTTTAATTGAAATAAGAAATTCTAAGAAATTCCCATCCTGAAATAACTGTGGTAAAGAAATTTCGTTAGCAAAATTTACAATAAGAATAACATTCTAATAATATTATGAAATGCACTTTTAATATTAAGTTAATCTTTCTGTGCAACGTTTTTGCATGCTAATCGAAATAAGGATAAAAAATAAAATACATAATCGAAAAGGAAATATGAGCTAATTAAGAGCTAATATATTTAGTGTATGCGAAATTCCATTACAGAGAAATGGTATCAACAGTCGAACATAGTTGGCCCATGAAGGTTAAATAGACTGCCAGCCGAAGCAAAATCTTGTTCTTTAAAATAATGAATTGAAAGATAGGCATCTAATGTGAAGTCAAGGAAATGGGAACGGATATGAATCAACGAATTTACTGCGAGAGATTTCCGATGCGTCGGATCCCATACCATTTCACATCATTTTACCTTCTACTGTGTTAATATAAAACAGAGTAAAACGGGCTTATTTATTACATCAGAGGTGCAGGTACGCGAAGTATACAGATACCAGAAGTGGAAGAGCGTGTTTTGGAGAGATTTGTAGCAGCTCTTTCTACAAAACGCATGCCATGGCATTCCACAATAGTATTTATCACAATACAATATGGAATGTTCTACATGAAGCATGCATACACCTCTTGCATGCAGAATGTCCAATCTTTGAAAGCAGATATCCATCCCCGCCAGTTAGAGTTCCTGAGGTGGGTTATTCAGACGCAAATAATAATCAAATTCTTGTCCCTTTGTGTTATTCAGTAGTGAGGCCTCAATTACCCAGAAAGGCATTCAACTCTTCCAATGAATACATCTGGACTTAGATCATTATCTGCGTCACTATAAACAACAGCAGAGTTTTGCTGTGAATTTCCAGGCAGGTATCCTTGGGGATTGCCTAGTGGGTCTTTACCTATTGTCAGAATGTCTGACCGGGGCAGTGTACAGTGTCTTCCAGGAACGCGTACAGTGTCTTCCAGGAACGTGAAGTCAGTCCCAGTATGTTGCAGGCTGTTCTTTTCATCATACAGTTGGCAAGTTTACGCTTAATGTAGCCACGGCATGTTTTAACCCCGCGGTCTGACGTTTTTTCAATGCCTCATCCTCCCGAATGATGGACTAGACGGTGTGGACCGATGGCTTTTGTCTTCATCTGTACTTTACCTTTTGTCGACGTGAGAGTCGTTGTTGCAATAGATAGGTTACAGGTTACGGAAAACGGGGACGCCTGGTGTCTAACATAGGTAAATAGGCGTATGTTCTACGTCCTCTTCTATCTAGCGGCAACAACTCCCTGGAGTCCCAAGAGGCTGCATCGGGAGTTTATTGAGACATGAAGAAGTTTGTACATGGCCAAACAAGGGCGCTCGTGTTTTGTTTTAGATTTGGAGAGACTTTGGCTGAACAGAAATGGCAAGGAAACAAAAATGTTGCAGAATTTAAAAAAAAAAAAAAAAAAAAAAAAAAAAAAAAAAAAAAAAAAAAAAAAGGGCAAGAGCAAGAATTAGCAAGAATTAAAACATGCAAAGAAATATAATTAAGGCATGTGTTGAGCTAAGCTGCTAGGATTATGATCTCAACTGGCATGTGGTGCATAATAAGTTGAGTTCTGTGCTAGGTGTTCGTAGGGCATAGATGACACCAGCGTTTGCACATAAAGGTTGTCTACGGTTGCGTAGTTCACATAGGTAAACAGTTTGCACATGTGCATAGTCGCAAATAATTCGGTGTTTGCGTGTGTTGTTCATAATTTGCACATAGTTTACAGTTGCTTGAGGTCTCTGTTTGCGAACGTGCACTTATGAGCTCGCTGTTCACAGATCGTTGCGAGAATTTTGACGGAGGAAAGAGGAGGGTGCAGCTGGCTGCGGTTGTAGTGATGCAAATAGCGGCAATTGTAGTACAGGAGGATGCACATTTATACACTTTGCAGTTTCGCAGTTTGCGCATTTGCAAAGTTCGTGGTTTTGGTAAACACAGATCGTAGTTTTCCCAGTAGCACAGTTCACATAGTTGTAGTTTACATAAATTGTAGTAGTTATGACAGTGTAGTACAGGTATTGCATCTTGTCACAATTGCATGGAGTTTCATGGAACCTAAAGTGTTGAAGTCGATGCTCTTTGGTTGCCTTATGTAGATCGTGTGGTGGGTTGTTACTGGGAAGTTGGCGAGGGTTTAGTATGTTTGGCACACATCTTCCCATGAAGTTTAATGCGTGGATGGTTTTTCAGATTTGTATTATTGTTGACTTAGTGCTGATAATGTAGCGTTGGAAGGTCTCAGTTATTGTTGTAAGATGCTTAATATGAATTAAGGTTGTCATTGGGCAGTGGAAGATGTAATGATCGGGTGCTCCATTTCGGCCGCAGATGCAGATGTCCGTGTTGGAGATATGGTGTCTGAAGTAATATGAAGGGAAAGGGCCGTGTCCAGTGATATATCTTATGAGTTGTGGGGTTGCAATGAAACGGGCCGTTGACACTTTTGGGAGGAAGATATAGGTATGGCGACTTGTTTCACTTGTGTTCCATTCATGTTGCCACTCTTTGAGGACTGCTTGATGCAACATTGAGTTTTGATGAGACGGCGGAGCTGGGATGTTCTATGGGTGGGCATCGGTTCCTTTGGCAGCTTTCTTTGCCAGGACGTCTGCAGCCTCGTTGCCCTCTGTGCCCTCTTGTGCCTTGACCCGGGTTAGTTGAATGCTGTTATATCTGCTGTGGTAAAGTTGACTTTGTATGCCCGTAATTACCGGTGACGTGTGACGGTGATTCAGGATGTCTTGGAGAGATGATTGTCTGCTGCAATAGACAAGATAAACACGATGCTAGGAGTCTAAGAGGGGAGCACTAGACGTTCATTGATCGGTGCATTATACAATGGCCCTCTTGGATGGCCCTCTGAGCACCTATTTTAAGTCTTTCTTTAATCTTTACACCTTATAATTTAGTTAATTAACCGCCCTCTTTTTTTTTTAATTGTTAGAAGTTCGATTTGGCGATTTAATTTTTCCGATATTCTCAGTGGAATGCGGCTTTAACCTCCACGGTAAATATTTTTCGTGTTTAGGATAGTATATCGTGTTTATTTTGCTGAAACAGTTGACAAGCACCTTATATACTCTGAGTTTTGATTCTTGAATTTCTGTACATTGTTCGTAATCGGAATAGGAGTTTTAAGCCAATGACAAGAAGAAAGTTAGAAGTTAAATGAATTAAAAGCAGATTAATTTCAAAATTAAAGTGTTGATTGTTATTCGAGCTATAGTTTAAGAAAAACTCTAAATATGCTTTATAAATATTTCGATTTACTATTCGAACGATATGTTGTTTAAGTGCTCTCATAATACGAGCTAATTTATTAGAAAGATGGACGCAGAAACAGGAAGAAATTAAATATTTGTCAGAAACTGCTCCCCAGTCTCTCGTTAAAAGGGGAATTACATAAGGTATTTTCTCCTTTCTTCCGCTTCCTTCATGGTGCAATGGCACCACGCTCGGTGCGTATTCGAGAGGTACAGGTTCGAGTCCGGGGGAGGACATTGCTGTTTTCACGTCTCCTGCTTGAAAATAAGCTGATGATTCTACAGTGGCGCCCGAACTAAAAGGTGATTGATGATAATTCCTCACCAGCAGGAATTGGGGATTGGATCTCCTAATCCCCAGTCTCCCTTTAAAAGCGGAAGTTTATATAGGGTATTTTCTTCTTCCTTTCCGCATAACTTCGTGGTGTAACGGTAACACACTAGGCGCGTATTCGAGAGGCCCAGGGTTCGAGTCCCGACAAGGGACACATCCTGCACATTTTTCACGTCTCTTGCTTCAAAATAATCTAATGACTCTACACTTTCCTAGAAAAAAAAAGTTAAATATCAGTACATGTTAAAAGAGTATCCATACTATTAAAATCTGTGCGCGTCTGTCTGTTTGTTTGTTTGTGGCATTATCTCCTCTAGAACGGCGGGGAGTTGCGCTTCGAGAGTTTCGCCAAGCACTCCCGGATTACAAAGATTCGTGGGAAACCATTTCGACCATTCTCATGTTCGTACGACTTTAATTAGCCGAGATTTCATTAAAATTTAATTTTCGTCCTTCATTTTTCTGAGTGGCAACAGTCTCGCACGCTAGAGATGAAAATCTGTTAAGTGTTACCGCTGCTCGCTTTCAAATCGTACAGTTTCTTAATAAAATATTTGGAAGTTTTACAAAATAGGAAATAAAAACAGCATTGTCAAACATTAAATATATTATTCCCGATTTAAAAAATTCGTGGGAAGCCATTTCGATCATTATTATGTTTGAATGACTTTAATCAGCCCATATTAATTAAAAACTCTGAAAACGCTAATTTTTCTCACCCATTTTTTCCGAGTGGCAACAGTCTTGCGCGCTTGAGATAAAAACTTGCTTTATTTCGAAAAGGCGTTGCCACTACTTGCTTTAAAATCGTAAAGTTTGTTAATATAAAAATTGTAAGTTTAACAAAATATGAAATAACAAAATTTAAAAAATTTAAAAAATATGAAAGGTTTCAGATTTTAAATTACGTCCAAAGAAGCGTTTTTTTTAAAACATTTTGTCTGTTACCTTTATTTATTAAACATCACGTTCTTCCCACTTAAACCATAAAATTTAGTTCAAGAGCAATATCGCAAAATAATTTTAAAATGAGCCTGTCTTTAGAATTTTCGATACACAGTCTCGCACGCTGGAGATAAAAATGTTTTTTCTGTACACGTTGCCATTGCTCGCTTTGAAATCCTTGAGTTTGTTAATCAAAAATTCGTTAAAGTTTTAAAAAATAGGAAATCGATCATAAAACAAATTTCAAATTTCAAATTTGGGCTTCCACATGCCCATATTCGCAGTAGGATTACGTCATTCAAAATTCGATGACCCTATGTACCGTTGTTTTATCACAATGCGAGAAATGGACATACATTTATGCAGATTTTTCATTATTTAATTTTTTCAAATATAATGCAGGACTCTAACATTTGGTGGGCAACAGTTTGAAAAGTGAAATGGACATTTATAGTGATTCAACTCAAAATGAAAACAATAGTCTCTCAGCGACAAAGCCCCTTCGGACTAAAAATAGCATTGCCAAACTTTAAACATATTATTATTATATAAAGTCATATTCTGACATTGAACAAAGAACGCGATTGCACGTGACGTCACTGTATGCCGAAAATCTTTCCTTAATGTCAGCATTTTAAATAAATAGCTATTGTTGGCAACTTTTTTGTTTCAAATTAGTATAATTGACACGATATATTAATAACACGTTAAGCCTTTTATTTATATTGAGAAAATGTTGTTATATTACATTAAATTTAAATTATGACGTCATACGTATTAATCTGAATTGACAAAAGTTTTTGTTTCCTGATTTGGCAATAAAAAATTATTTACTAATTGGTTTATTGCGTGGAAAGAATGATGTAGCCCGCTCATCTGGCGAGCTTGCCCGCTAGTATAATTTTAAACTCGACTTAATCTCTTACGCGGATGTCATGCATACTGCATGTTTTCTAAGGGTATTATTTATAAAGCTTACCAGGTCTTCGGTTTGGTTATCCATATCCATGATATTTTCTTCAGTTTGTGAAGGTCTTTCACAGAACTGGATGAGAATTCCGTTGTTGGTTCCTCATCCCTTTTCAGGGAATCGAGAAGAATTAAAAATTTATCTTTGAAATTCAAAAATTCGCTCTTTAATCTTTCTGTTGTGCTGTAGATTTGCTCAAATTTTTCATCAGCTGAAACCTGTCTTGAGGTCATGAAAGAGAAAGTCTTGTCCAATACAGAAGCTTTTCTGCAGAGCATATCATCCGCGAATTGTTTGGAGAATGAACAGAACTGGAACTGTACGTTTTTCTTCAACAACTCGTTGTCAGCGCACATCTGCAAGATTGATTATTTTTTATATTTAACTACTTACTTGATAGTTTTTTAAATGAGGATTTAATTTTAAAACATAATCGAATAATTGTCAAGAACGCGAAAGCATAATCAAGTGATAACAAACTTATTTGTTTCATTTTGATATATTCGTATAATTAAACTGCTTTAATGTAGAAACTAGAAGTGTCATGATACTTTTAATCAATGTTTTTTATATAATCTCACTACAGTCTTAGAGATAATAGTCAAAAAATAATTCATTTCACAAATTTAAATATTGCATTTAAGATATTTATTTTTCATCACCCAGGCGGCATGGAGATAGCTCTTTCCGGGATTCAATTTCTGTAAAAAATGTAGATATTTACATTTGTTAATTAATTAATTAATTTTTAATACGAGAAAGCATACAGTTATCTGCCTAAGAAGAGAATTCTTCACGGTGAGTGGATGAATAAAACTAGCCAGTTTCCCTTAGCATTTACTCTGCAGCAGCTCAGCGACCAGTAAGCGCTTGCATTGGTGACAGATCTAAATATCGGCTTCCAAGGACAAAGTACACTTTCGCCTTGGCGGCAGTTTTTTGGTTTCTAAACAACATCTTGTTGTTTAGAAAGTTTGTTTGGTTTGGTTTGGTTTGGCCAAACAAACAAAACGCCTTGGCAGTTTGTTTGGTTTCTAAAACTCTCATGAACATTTCCCCTTTCCAAGGGTATAAAAGCAGCGGTGGTGCAGTTGTTAACGTTCATTATAGAGATGGTGTCACCAGACAGTTGTAGCAAAGTAAGCTAATGTCTAAATCCTCACAGTGTTACACGTTGGGAAAACCAGACATATGATTACGACTACACGGAATAGGCTTATGTAAATCTGTTTTTTGAAAGTTCTTTCATTTGATTGTAATAGAAGATGGATAGGACAATATCAGATACCCTACGTGGAATGTCTGGACTTATAATGGGATGAGGCAGGGTAAAAAAATCACGTTGCCCTCCTCCCTCGTTGATAACCATAGCGTAAATTCATTGATACCCATGGCAGAGATAGAAGCATTTCTTTCACTCAGAATTCTTCTTGAGTTATCAACCTGGATTTGTCATACGACGGCAGAAACATTTATTATTCTAAAAATATTTATCGTTTTTTACGTGAGTTGTAAGCGTTTAGTAATATCGCCCGCAGGAAATTCCAAGTGATTAGGAAATATCTGTCTCAGTAGTAGTATAGTATCAGTAGTAGTATAGTATACAGGATTTCTGCTTTTTATACTGCTGCAGAAGCATGAATTAATAGCCAGTTATACTATAGCATAGCTCCCAGAATTTGAAAACATTAAAAGGAAGAAATATGAAATGAAGGCAAATTATACCAAATAAATACCAAGCAAAGTTACACTGATCTTTTATTATGGAAAAGGTGATGCAAAATTATGGTTACTTCGCTCAATTACAATAAAAATATTCTCCTCTTCCTGACATATAAACTAGCAAAACGTTTATTATATGCAAGTTACTCTTGTTTTTAGCCAGATTTATGCCACCATTACAGAGGTTTAGCTAGGAAAACATGAAAATATTAATTACTGGCAAAAGTGATAACGAATTGCTGCATTTTTAGTAGTAGTAGTAGTAGTCGCCCATAAAGACAGCCATTTCCGTAAGAACGAAGGATCATGCTCTTTTTAACTATTGCATTATTACAGTCGGCAATCAGCTTCGTTTATTTTATGTTTAATCACACAAATGTAACGATTTAATTTGACTGATTTGATTTCATAACTTGATCTAACTCAGCACGCTATTCACAAACAAGAATGGTAAAGGACATTTTCCTAAAAAGAGACGACAAATAATTCCAACGACAAATAATTCACTAAATATTTTTGCTGATTGTGAGAAAATGCGATCAAAATTGATTTTGAAGATTTCAAGTATGATAAAAATTTCTATGATTTTGTTTTCAATCAGTAACTGGAGTGTTCTACAGGATAAACAAATCTGAAATACGTGCATTAATAACTAGGAAATAATAACTATTGGAACGATTTAATTAATATATTTCAAATGATGACATACACATTTGCCTAACATGTAAATAGACGCAGAGCGGCATGTATACATTTGAATATGAAGATTATCCAAACTAAATTGAATAAATATAACACTCGTTGAGGTTTAAAAAGCACAGAATATGGTGAAAAATGTATGTTAAAATCAGTATTATTTTTAACGTGATAATTAAAGCATGCAGATGATTGTGCGGCATTTACATATACTTGACATAATCTTCGAATAAGCAGTTTTTTGTGACGTACTGGGATATTCATGTGAAGTATTAACGACACTGGGATTTTACATGAGCCTTTTTTTTTTTTTTTTTTCGTGTAAGCTTTTGACATGAAACCAATATTGATTAAAACTAAATTAATTTTTCAATTATAAAGCCCTTCTTACCTTCAATCAAAATCGTAAAAAACAACCTTATATTTAGCGTAGGTATAATGAACCCTTCTTACCTTTTTGATTACATCACGAACTTGTGTCAGTTCCCACTGAAACTTTAACAGGGAATTGTGCTGCGGAATATTTAACATTTGCGTCACATCTCCCTGACTATTGTTACGAAGAAAGCATTTCAGCTATAAGAAAGATTGAAAGAAATGAGAATTTGAAGCAGTGTAAACGTAAAAATGTTCTAAGTTTCCTTTCAGTACATATCTATCAAATTTAAAGTTAAAATCATAAAGACAGGTTAAGCTCTAGTGAAGGTAAAGGTTGGCGCTATTTGGGACAAAATATCGCTATTTATTTAGCACCAATTAAAAAAACGATAATTAAAGTTATATCGTAGCTTGCTTCAACAGCAAAAGAGGGCACTTGTTCATCAGTAATATTTTAATGTAACTAATAAATTTCCAGTTTAAGCCTCTCAAAGTTAACTTTACGCAATCATTTTTATTCGTATTGTTTTAAATCGCAAATTCCTTGTTTAAACGAGCTACTAATAGTATTTTTTATGATTCTTCACAGACAGTTTATAACTTGTTTCTATTCTGCATCGTAAATGGGTAATGTTAAATAAAATATGTTATAAAAGACTCTTAGGTTTTAACTCTAATTTAGCTTTTAAGAATTGGAAACAGCTTGTATTTTCCTTTTTGATTACAGAGCCTTAAGAGTTAAGTTGTTCGTATAATAAATGCTTTGTTAGTTTTACCACTTTTTTACTTCCTTGTACGAAGTAAAAAGGAAGTATTGTGATTGTGAAAAATTTCTGGTATCATATTTCAATGAAAATATCCATATTGACCTCTATCGAATGCAATTTAAGGATGTTTTTGCATAACATCTGTACGTAAGGAATAAAGACTAAAAGAATAAAAGACTTTTTCTCCAAACGAATCATAAAACTGATTTAAAATGGATTCAGAGGAGATTTTTTTCGTGGCATCTGTACGTACATGCGTACGTACGTATGTACGCATGCCTGTATCTCGCATAACTCAAAAACGTAATAGCTTCAGAACGTTGAAATTTTGTCACTGAAGTCACTGAACACTGGTAGTTAGGTCAAATTTCGAATCCCGGCGAACGGGCTGGCTGCATGGGTGTTTGATTTTCCGGTTGTGTATAGTGTATGCAGTATCTTATGCATGCATATGTAATAAAGCGGGCGCAGCCCAAGTAAAATCGATGTACACTGGTAGTTCGGTCCAACTTTCGAATCCCGACGAACGGTGGGTGTTTTCGTGATTTTACGCCTGTGTATTGTGTATGCAGTATCTCTTGGATGCATAAGTGAATAAAGCGGGCGCACCCCTCGCAAAACCGCTGGACACTGGTAGTTCGGGGCAATTTTCGAATCCAGAAGAACAGGCCGGTACCAAGGGAGTTCTCGTGATTTACCGCAAGTGTAATGTGTATGCAGTATCTTTTCGATGCATATATGAATAAGGCAGACGCAGCCCGCACAAAACGCCTGAGCACTGGTAATTTGGTCAAACTTTCGAATACCAGGGATTGGGCTGCCTGCATGCCTGTTTTCGTGATTTTTCGCATGTGTAACGTTTATGAAGAATCTTGTGGATGCATACGTGAATAAAGCTACCGGAGAACACCGGTAGTTCGGACCAAATTGTGAATAAAATCGTACGGGATGGCTCCATGGGTGTTTTCGGAATTTTCCGCATATATATCGTGTAAACAGTACCTTCTGAATGCATTCGTGAACAAAGCGGGCGCAGCCCGCGCAAAGCCGCTGAACACTGGTAGTTCGGACCAACTTTCGAATACTGGCAAAATTCAAAATGAGCGGGCTGGCTGCGTGGGTGTAAAAACGTGATAATGATCCGCAGGTGTATATTGTATGCAGTATTTTCTGGATGCATAGGTGAATAAAGCGGGCGCAGCCCGCTGAACACTGGCAGTTCGTTCTAACTTTCGAACACCCGCGAAAGGGCTGGCTGCATGGGTGGTTTCGTGATTTTAGGCATATGTATCGTGTATGCAGTATATTCTGGTCGCATACGTGAATAAAGTGGGGGCAGCCCGCGCAAATCCGCTGAACACTGGTAGTTCGGTCCAACTTTCGAATTCCTTCTACCGGGGTGGATGCATGGGTGTTTTCGTGATTTTTCACATGTGTTACATGTATCCGTATGTGAATAAACCGGGCAAAGCCCGTGTAAAATTGCTGAACACTGGTAGTTCGGTCCAACTTTCGAGTCCTGGCGAAATTAAGCCGGTTCCTCTTAAAATGTCCTCCACAAAGGCATCACACCCCTTATACTAGCGGGCTTCAGCCCGCTCAGCTGGCGGGCTTGCCCGTTAGTATCTATATATCCACTGTGTTATTCGGCTCAGTGAACTCAGTTTCTTCATTCTTATATGTTTGTAAATTGTGCATTAGTTGCTTTAAAAATGATTGAATTAAGTTGTTCTTATCTTCCGGTTAAGGTTTTTATGCCTTTAGTTAACTTGCCTGCTATAGTTGCAGAATTATCAGCAATTTAAAAGTTGTTTAAGTGAGGCTAAGCCTATTTTTTTAACCATATTTGTTTACAATTGCAACTTAGCAGAATAGTGGATTTGTTTCCCCTCTAAAGAAAGTAAGCTTTGCAACAACAAAGTAACGTCTTCTTTTATTATTGCGAATTAAATTATGCTTAACCCATTCTGGAATTATCATTTAAGTTATTAAATTATGCAATATATTGACTCAGCGTCCACAGGACTTTTTGCCGGATAGGATGTCTCTTTTTCCGAGTGAGTTGCCTGCTGGCTGAATTGCTTGTTTTTGTATAGAAACTCTAATTTTAATTGTAAACGTTGTTGTTTAAATTGTTTTAGCTGTATTTATGCTTTATATTTTTCCTCATTTTTAAACTTTTAATAAAGAAATTTTGAGGTTTCATGCATTTTTGCCTTGTCGAGAAGTGAGAACTGAATTCATTGAATGAGAAATATATCTCTAATGAAATTCGAGGAAATAAGTTTAAACTAAATGCAGGAAAAATGCATCTAATTTAATATTCCGTACAAGGAAGTCATGTGGTGTACACATAATTTTTTTTAATATTAAGGATGTGACTGTTTGTCACACCAAACACAGCTGTTGTACTTTCAAGCAGAAGTGCATAATAAATTAGATATAGGTTTCAAGTACATTATCATAAATTGCACGATTTAGAATTCATTATTTGCTTTAAAATTTTAATTAGTCAGTTTGTAAAGTATCTTCGAATCATGGCTACCAGACTGATTAAGCATAAATTGCTCTTTAAAAAAGTAACCTCAATTTTGGAGAAGGGAGACTGAAATTTAGGTAATTCCTAGTAACAACAACCACCGCACTTTGTCGCCTAAAATCAGTAAATAAATCTCTCAACGAGTAACATACGTTTTTCGAATACCGCGAAAGGCGTATGCGGTAACGGCCTTAACAAGGAAGTATTTCTAAAACCATTCTTTCCATACGTGAAATTTATAGTTATAAGAAAGAAAAGGTTAATGAAATATTGGATTAATATTAAGGGATATGAGTTTGGAAACTTTGGACGACAAGTATAATGGCATTGGCTTAATCAAATATTGTAGCTTTAAAATGGGAAGTTGCAACTCTTCAAAGTAATGTTCATATTTACCAATGTTTGCCTCATGCCCCCAACTGAAACTTAACCAAATACAGATAAATGGAATAATAAATTGAAGCAATTAGAGTTATTAAAGTACTAAATGTTATCATGGCAAAAGAAGAACAAGCTATTTCAAAGAACATGATTTTGTTAAAAATTAATCAGCATAGCAACTAATAAAGAACAGAGGAGTTAATTCAGAAAAACTTTGGTTTGAAAAGTAAGTAAACTGGTAGAGGCAAATTAAGAGGATCTTATAAAGTTTATTTACTCCTCCCCTGATTTCTCATTATTTCAGCAGTTAAATTACAACAATGTTCATTTTATGCAAATATACATTAAGAAAATTTACTTACTTTATTTAGACACCATTTTATGAAGAGCACCAATATAACTGAAAAGAAAATCAATAAAGCATCTTCTAGTATCACACTTCTATCATAACAACATAAATAACAGAATCATATATTGAAATCCATGTACAGTCAACTCTCGATTATCCGGCGGCGTATAGATCGGGTTGCGAAATAACCGGCATCTGTCTAAAAATAGTATAATAGATACTTTTTATTAAGGAATGATGGAATAATTGCTACCAATAACCATAAACGTAAGTCAATTCTGAAAGGCAATTTACCTGCTGAAAAATCCGAAATATTATTCAAGTAACTTACACAAAGATTCTGCGGTAATTTCATGTAACAGCTAAAGAAACGTATGACGTTTAACTCGCAAGGATGTACGCTTACGAAGCAGGAAAGCGCGTGAATAGATGAGATGTTTCAGGTACTTACGTACTACCGAAACGACCTTAGTAAAAGTCGCAAATTTTCAGCTTGCGCCCCAAGCTCTGGTTATATGCATAACAGTTGTTCAACTCTAACCAGCAACGCAGTCACTTTCGTATGCATTCCTTTCTGTTATATTACAAGTTTTTATAGATAAAGCCTGATATTTGCCTTAAACTCAATTTTAAAATATATATTTGTGGCATTTCTTGCATTTGAAGAAAAGCTGTGGTGTTTTCACAGGAATGCAGTGTTTTACCGGAAAATCATTATGTGGAACACTTGCCTGGAATCTTAAGCGAATGTCATGAAATTTCCATCATATTAAAAGAACCTAAAATTTGCTTATAAATAAATTTATTGAATGATTTTCGAAATAAATATCTAATTCAAATGTAGCGTGCGCACACACAGACACAAACACATATGACATGAGAAGGTATTTTAAGTTTCCTTCAGTTAAGCTTATAAATCGGAACACTAATACCTACAAAACATTATAGGAAATATCTATAATGAATTCTTTCGTATCAAAAATAGTCGTACAAGCCATATTTGGTAACCCATCGCCAATTTGGCGGTTTTACTCAAAGAGTACCTTACTCCGGAACTTTGCAGAAAGTGCAGAAATGAAAGGTGTTGGTGTTGGTGTATTTAATTATGGCAAAGCACTGCCCTAATTAGCTATCTGCCTAAGGGGAGGGATGCCTTCGTGGAGGACTTTCTAAGGGAAAATGGCTCGTATACACGCTACACATGGGGAAAACCACGAAAACACCCATGCAGCCAGCCCGTTCGCGGGATTCGAACCTCGGACCGAACTACCAGTGTTCAGCGACTTTACCGCTCGGCCGCTGGTGGGCCGCAGAAATGAAAGGAAAAATACATAAGTTAACAGCAGTGACAGTTGGTGCTGCAAACAAAATTGCACCGAGGCCGTACTGTATATTAGGATTTTGCCGCAAGTGATAAATGAGTTGGAATTCAATGACGTTGTTCAAAATCTTTTGTAAATATTGCTCTTTATTGTAATTTATTAATTTATTTTATGACTTCCAATGATGTTTATTCATCGATTATTTATAGAGTGTTTCTTAACACTATTTTAATTTATGCAATCAAATGAAATTATTACTGAAAAGGTGCATTATTAATAGTATTTGTACTCTTCTGTTATCGGCACCGTATTAAGAAATGTATTTATGTGCAGATGTGTATGTGCATACAAGTGTGTGTTTATACACACATACATAGGGATACGTACGGGCATATAAACACGTATACATGAACAGATACATCCATACATACATGCATACATACATTTCTGAATTCGGTCTCGATAACAGAAGAGTTCAACTATATTTTTCGATTAATTATAGTATGTTTATTTAACTGCTTTTCGATTAAATATGATTTCATTTGTTCAAGGACGTCCTTCCCGGCATCACCCTGGTTAATCGAGAGTCTACTTTTGTTTCAAAAATAAAGTAATCGTTCAATTTCTACATGAAACAATACATTGCAGTAAATAAATTTACAATAAACTTAAATAAAATATACCTAAATAATTTAGATTCGACAAATTGAAATGCTTACCTATCAAAATTATTGGACAAACATATTTCCAGAAAATTTGTTTCTTTCCGCGCATGTTTATTTTTAATCGGTCTATTTTATCCTACACCATCTTGATCTAAATTTGTTTTGGAATGCATATTTTGTTGCCATATCAAAATTAAATATAGTTTCAAGTTATAAAAGGTAATAAAATTAATCATAGAAGTATACTTCTCATTTTTGCCGCATGATGCCACTGCGAACTTATGGCGCATGCTTAAACCTACTGGGAAGAAAAGGTATAACCGATTTCTGTTATAGGAAGCAATATCGGTTTCTGAGAATTCTTTTACCGGTAAATATTGTCCTTTTACATTTAAATTTAACTCTTAAAGAATATAAGTGAAATAACTATATCTTTAAGATTTAGGGATAATGAATGAAAGATAAACATGAAAGTTCATACGTTAGTTTAGGGATTAAACAAAGATTTTATTATGCAAGATTTTGCAGTTGATACTTGAAACTTGCAATTTGCTCACAGTATCTGAAGATTAATAGGGGTACTTCTCTAAATATAAGTTCGAATCTTTTAAATTTCATGCAGCGTAATTAGGAGATAGCTACTTGAGAACTTCTAAACTTTATTTCTGCTTATTTTAGTTCTGCTACTTCTGATATTTTTTTTCTTCGCAAATTTGCGCTATATGGATATTTGAATATTTATTTAATAAATAAAAGACTTAATAATATATATATTCTCATTATATCGATATATTGTTACTTCGAAGGACCTTTGAAATTACGTAACCAATATTTAATAGTATTGGAGTTTTAAATCTATCAATGCCTAAGGGCAAAAGAGAGTTTAATGAGCACTTAATGCTATTATAATATCACAATATGAAACTGAAGAGCAAGAAATTAGAAAACTTCTAAATATCTCCTAAATAACAATTACGTTTTCGGTTAGAGTACATTCTCTTTGAAAACTTCGCAAAAAATTAACTACTGAGAAATTTGCTAATGCACTGATAACATGCTCTCACTACACAAGACCAAATCAAATATTCTTAATTTATTTAATTAATTTATGCGGCCTGGCAACTAGCTAGTTTCCGAAGTGCTGCTATATCTGACATGAGATAATTGGTAATATTTTTTCAACTCATAAACTGAAAGAAGTAGTTGATGTACTAGATGTTCTAGAAAAGATAAATAAATTATAAGTCACTTTATAATGCAAACTACCTTAACTGTCAACATTTAATGCTTGTTTTATAAATTCTCTAACTTTTATAGCTTTATTCGGGTATTCATTGATTTTTGAAAATTTTTGGTGATCTTTACATTATGGTAACTTGGCGATTTTTTGGCGAAAATTTGGCGACCAACTCTCCTACAGCAACCCTCTATTTTTTTTCCCCGCCGCCATTTTGTCTTCACGAAGTAAAGACATGTTTCTTTTCTTTTTATCTACTGAACACTTCTTCCAACAATCTACTAGCCGAATTACACTTATGCTAGAAATTTTATCTAACAAAACTGCTTAATCATGACAAATATTCACTGCAAAATTGGGAAAAAGTGCACAATACCATACTCCTTACGCGTTTTTCAAAATAACACATACACATAAACCATGTACACGCCGACTTATTTTTACTTAAAAAAACATCCCAGAATTGCACAAAAATGGCATTGCGCACACTCTTCACTATATCCATGTACACTGCTTTTTTTCTCATAAATTAGAAAAATTTCACGAAAATACATGACAATTTTCTCAATCTTTAAACCCGGTAAAAAGAACATATAGAACATATATGAAATTACCTGATCGCGAAAAAGTATTTACCCTTTCCAAATATGAACATTTCCACATATAAAATAAATAAAATATCCAAAAACTTTTACCTCTAAATCATCTATTACATTATACACGTCACCAACGAATTCATACCGCAAGCATTACAAATACTTAGTATCAAATATTTAAATTATTTCCATGCACGTTTACTTCAACTTAAACGTATACCAAATTCCTACAAACATAAAATTCACAAAATAACTATCATTTAATTAAAATATCACTAAACCATGTACACGTCGACTTATTTTTACTTAAAAAAACATCCCAGAATTGCACAAAAATGGCATTGCGCACACTCTTCACTATATCCATGTACACTGCTTTTTTCTCATAAATTAGAAAAATTTCACGAAAATACATGACAATTTTCTCAATCTTTAAACCCGGTAAAAAGAACATATATGAAATTACCTGATCGCGAAAAAGTATTTACCCTTTCCAAATATGAACATTTCCACATATAAAATAAATAAAATATCCAAAAACTTTTACCTCTAAATCATCTATTACATTATACACGTCACCAACGAATTCATACCGCAAACATTACAAATACTTAGTGTCAAATATTTAAATTATTTCCATGCACGTTTACTTCAACTAAAACGTATACCAAATTCCTACAAACATAAAATTCACAAAATAACTATCATTTAATTAAAATATAATTAAATTCAAAAACACTACTTAAAATATAAATGAGCACATACATTAAATTAATAAAAATTACCTTACAATCCTAATTACTTTAAACTAAATCATTGCTAATAACAATTTTCCCAATAATACCAAATTCCTTTCCACCTTACATTTAGAACAATGCATAAAAATAATATCCTCAAATAATTAAAAATACTAACTTACCTAATCTTCTTCAGAATCTTGATTACGTGGCGGATACACTTTTCTAATTCATTCAATAAAATTATTGAAAGATTTTTTTCTGCGAATTTTTCCTCCATACTTCCTCCGCTAAATAAAAAGCAAACTTCTCTTTATCACAATGCCTAAATACCCATTTCGAATTCACTTTAGTTAGGGCCATGGGATCCAAAAATTAAACAACACTGTTTCACACAACACAGAATAAAGCCAAATACAAAATTTCCAGATTTTTTCCCGATTTCCCCCCTTTTCCGATTAAAGAACCGTAATTCGTCCATTAATATCACATGACATATCCCATGATCTCTCATTTCCCTCACACAAAATAATGCGTAATCGGAACTGAGTACTGCTCACATTATTACCAAAGTCCCAGGTAGTAACCTTTATCGCCTCCAAAATGTCGCCAAACTACCAGTTACCATATTGTAAAGATCAACCCATTTTTTTTCAGTCAAACACAAAAAAATTTTTTAAAATTGTTAAAGCCTTTGGATGTGCTGATTTTACTTTAGGAATAGGTTAAAAAGATTAACAGGGCGAAACACATGTGAAATGCAGTAAAAAAGAAAGATTAAAGCAGCTGCCTTTAATCGAATGATAAGCTTCGCAACTGAAAACTAGCGTTGTTTTAAAATAACTGAATTTGTTTTACGAAGCCCAAATTAAACAGTGTTTTTGGAACTGATCCAGATCTTATTAAAACTATTACCACATATGTCCAATGCAAAGTGTAGTTTTAGGATGACTGTGGAGAAGATGGGAGTTTTTCCAACTTTTTTTTTTGTTGTTGTTGTCATTTTCAGTTAATTTTGATTTCTGAAAGAAGACCTCGAGTCAATAAGAGTTCTATTAATTTAGAGAGTTTTAAGAATGCTCTTCTATGAATCATGTTTTCCAATTCTCTACGCGTTATACTTCAGCTGCGAGGGACTTGATGTCGAAAGCGATAATTCTCAGAACCAGCACAATTCCAGGAAACCCACGTAGATAGGTTACCATTTTCACTTACTACAAAGACTTGAACGCCAAACACTAATCGATTATCGCTCAGATTGTGATCACGTGATGCTTCAGAAGCAGAACTATCGCCTGCTTGGTTGTCTCTACCCGGACAGAGGTCCAGCCGAGACATTTTCAGTGAGGTTTGAAAAAAAATCCCGCATAGCCGCAACATCGTTTCCATAGCTAGGCGGAACTATACTTCAGGCAGGGCTCTTTTTTCTAGGAATCCTCCCGTTTAAATCAGGGATACCAGAATCTTGTTTCTCAGAAGAGTAGCAAGGACTGTAGCCAAGTGTGATAACCTCTTTTAGAAGCAATAGAGTAAATAACATCTACTTGAAACTTTCCTTTCTGTTCGGTAGCTAAAAAGTGTCTTGTTTTTTGAAGAAATGCGATAAATAACATAAAAAATTATTTGCCATTTTTACTGATAGGAAGCATACTCGTAGATGTTTTTGTCATTGAACTTGTGTAATGCTTTTAATGTATATGACTCCAAATAATAAAGTATAATTCTTGAATGCATTTCCGATAAAACCGAACTGATCTCCGTTACATATATGATCATACACTTACAAGACTTTTATGAAAATATTTATATCCTTTATCAAAACAAATGCAGTTTGCTGGATATTAGTATCTTTAGTGACATAGCGGCGTGAAACTTTATACTTGTTTTCCTTCTCACAATATGAAATTTATGTTTAAATTTGAATCACCTTTTCAAATTTAAGCAGTATAATCTTACCACCTTTTTCTTATAACAGCTGTTGTTGTTGTGTCTTATCTCAGTTATCTGACAGTAACATCAGAACAAGCCCACAGAATTCTTCGTGGCAAGGCGTGCAAGATTGCGCATTTCGCTGTCAAGAGCCTTGAGCACCACACAGGTGACAGCACGACAGGTTATGCCCCAATTTTGATGGAGAGCAACCGGGGGCGGACCGGTCCGAGGGTCTCCTACCTCTCTTCCTTTATCACCAACCTCTGGAGAGGAATTTCGGCTCGCCGCGTATTTAGCGTACCCGCATACCGCTCAGATATTATACATTTACAAACATCCATGCCTTCTCTGGAATTCGGGCTCTTCAGTACGCGTATTTTGTAAGTGTACATCTGTATCCTACCGATATAGATGTGCATTTACAAAAGTGGCTTCTAGAATGGACCAATTGGCTTCCAGTAATATTTCTGTCATTTCACATGTCCTTCGTGGCGCTTTAAGCAAGATGGTTGAGAATGTTTTGACACGCAATTTTCTGCAGAAAATAACCAAAGCATAGTTGATTTCTTGTGAAAGTTTTTAATGCGAAGTTAGATAAAAAATAAAGAGAGCTATATATGTAAATAGTAGAAGTTTTAGACTTTTTTACTGCAGTCTGTATGAAAAAGATGTTTTATAATAATATCCAATTTCACAGTTTTATTCAAAGTGAACTTTACTACACATTTAGCGCGTTAAATTTCTCATTAATAACTGTTCATTCATACGATTGCCTGCACGAGTATGTATTGCAATGTATTACCTGCACGAGAAATACCCTTCAAACAGAATTCTTGTTCACATCGAATATATTTAATTTATTCCTTACTAAGTTACTTCATTATTTATTCCTTCCTAAGTTCTAATTAACATTTTATGTTAACAATAGATATAATCAGATCATTCACAATATATATCGTCCACAATGTATATTTTGATCGTTCATAATATATATTTTGAATCTTGCACATTCAAAATCAAAGGAATGCAAGCATTGGGATACGAAAATACTAGATTCCTTGCAATCAGTTATTCTCAGCTCAATAAATATTATGCACTTGAACTCTCTTAATCCCCGGGTATCTTAGTAAATGCATAATATTCCAGGCTAATTGTAGCTTGAGTCATTTGCTCGATATAAAGAGCGATAATATGCCACGATCATTAATCCGATTATCAGGGCGCGTGAGAAGATTCGCTAAAGTAAGACGTATATTAAACGTTGTATAAAGTGTATTAAACGTTGACGATTAAATATGCTGATAAAATAAAAGCACTACGCGATATTTTCTACCAGAATGACAACAGCATTTATACGCGATACATTTATAATAATGAAACAAATGCAAAGTAAAACGTAAACAGCAACATGTGCTCATATGCACAGTTTCAAAGATTCAGCGTCACAAGAGCAATACAATCTCATTGGTTCATTTTTGAAACCCCTGCCTTAGTGGCGATATTGATGTGCACTTGTGAATTATGTCTTAGGTACTGCAGTCAACGTCGCTAACCTCTATCCCGGTTGGGTGGCTTATAATAGCTAATGTATAAGTGAGTTTTTTATATAATTGATTTTTTAAAATTCATTATTGGTAAAGCGTTTGGGAAATCTGCGAAGAGATTTTGTTCAGTTTATAAGGCTTTATCTAGAATTTCTTCATAGGCTGTAACTTCCCTTGGAGATTTCATTTCCTTTTCAAAAATCTCCGAAATCGGATATTTCAGTTAATATGCTCTTGGGTAAAATCCGTTAAATTTCAAATGTCTGTATGTATAATCTTGAAATAACATCTCCTTTACATTGTATGTATTTACTAGTATATCTCCAAATAAAGATTTAGTTTAGAATTAAAAGTCTCATGTAATGTTTCCTTAATGTTAGACTTAAACAGTTAACATGAATGCAAGTTAAAATAAAGTTTTATGCAGTTTGCAAAATTAGAAATATTTACAAAGTGACAGTAGTTTGTATTTAAGTAATATGTATAAGGATGAGACATAAATAACGTGTAATTTATTATCATTAAAGGCCAAATTGTAGCGTTTTGTAAGAGAAAACGTTGTGCTGAGATTGTCCTGATTTAAGGATATTGAAAGAAAACAACTCTTAAAACGCGGTGAGTACTAAGAGAAAGTTTGCGTTTGCTGACTGAAGCCTTTTTTTTTTTTCTTTTATGTATAGGGGTTCAGTAATTAATTTAAACTTAATATCTTGCTTTTTAATTGCGTTGAATCAATTATATCCCCTCCAAATTAGTTTGGTAAGTGCAGATAAAAATTTTATTGAAAAACTCAGGCAAAAGTTTTCGATATAAGATTGACATTTTTTTAAATTAAAAAATACACAAAACTGCAAATGCTGTTACTTATTTAGAAGTATATAACGTGAAATCATTAACTACTGCGTCAGTTTAAATACGAAATACAAAATGTATAATCACATTAATTACATTTGGTGATTTTTTGAAATTTTGAAACACTGCCAAATTTTTGATGTTATTGGCGATCAAAAATTGACAGCGGCTCCCTAAATTCGCATATTTAACTAGGACATTAGCAGCTCATTTTCTTACTCTCATGTGCTGTTTTACGCATTATCCAGTCAGCGGTCGAAATTGGCTACCATCAAGCCATGAAAGTTGGCGGAGATTCCGCCACAGTTCCGCTAATGGTTCCTTCGGAGAGGTAAAGGAACTGAAGCCTCTTTTTTAATAAACAGTATTTGACTCGCTTTGTTTTGGATGTTCGTAAAAAGGCATTCGTCGGTGTCTATTATTTTGTCAAACCTCTTTTTTAATAAACAGTATCTGACTCGCTTCGTTTTGGATGTTCGTTAAAAGGCATTCGTCGATTTCAATTACTTTGCCAGGCCCTTCGATTTTACCGAAAGCATCATTTATAATCTTATAACAACAGACTTGCTGCAGGTAATTGTTCCAATCTGTTACTGTTTGTTTTGCCAAACTCAGTTGACTATATTGTGTCCATTAAACTCATTTTTTTTATGATGCGATCGCTTAATTTTGAAAACAGTTCACTGTTTGTCGTTCTGTAGAAGGCAGTTTCCAAATTTTATCTTTTTATTTCAAAATAAAGAGAAAAATACAGCAATAATAGTTAGTTGATTTGTTCTATAAAAATGAAAGATGACTTATCAACAATCAACCTGGATTACATTAAGCAAAAGCGCAGATGTTATGAGTCTGCTGTCTCATCACCCCTATCCGTAACGTGTGCTAAATCTGATTGCCAGCCGATAGTTTCATGGTCGACGGGATAATACGTAAGTACCTAATGTATTTATAGATGAATAAATTCATATATAATATATATTTTGAGAATGTTGAGAGTCTGATGGTATGAGTCTTTCTTGTGAATTCCTGAGTAATTTTAAGTTTGTTAACTCACTTTGCAGTTGGTTCATTCAATTCTAATTTAGTTTGTGTGTCTACCAATCGCTCAAGAAAAAGATAATTTAGTTTTATTTACTTTGGTCTTACTTTTTGTAGTTAATATCTTCAAAAATTAGGCAAAAAATTCCCTCAGCTGAGATTTACCTAAATTGAAAATTTATTATTCCATACATAAAACTAAATTTTCAGGGTGACTAAAAGTTTCTACTACAAAGAATAAATAAAGAGTAATAACACAAATTTACTAGAAAAGTTTTATTTTTCGTAATACAGTATTATTCTAAATTTTTCATAACATACAGTAAGGATTAAAAAATAAGCATTAAAAGTATAAGCTTTAAAAAGTCATGGTTTTTCAACGATATTTGTGAGTAGGATTGAAATATTTCAATATAATTTCTAATTGGCATAGACAGATGGAAAAGGTAGTCTCTCAGTTGGCTGCAACCTACAGAAATTATTGAAACAATTTAATTAGTTATTTAACAAGAACTTAAAAAAATACTTTGCGACTGGTACATTGTTTAAAATTTTACTTATTTATTTATCACAAGAAAAATGAATGATTTTAAAGGGTCGTAACAAAGAGTGTTTTTGAGCTTATGTAAAATACGGCTGTAGAGGCAAATTATACAGGGTGATTCAGAATTCCTCATCAATATTTGGTGGGGAGGTTAGGAATAGGAAAAGAAGGAGATTTCACATAGGAATGCATGGGCGCATATGCCATGTAGTAGGGCAAAATGACCCCGGTTCAATGATGGAAAGAACATAGAAGAAGGAAGTAGTAAGAAAAAAAAAAAAAGAACATTTATTATCTTACATGTAAACATTTCTTTGCATCGGTTTTACAGACTTACAAGGAGGTGCTCCAACTGCTAACCATGTGCTAGAATGCATGACTCACAACTGCGTTGCATGGACAACCAGACCTTTTGGAATATCCCTGGATAGTTTGTAAGGATCCTAAGTTTTACTAACGTTTATTTCATTTTAAAACTTTTCTATCTTTCTTATTTTTCCACTTCCGGCCAGAATTAAATGCTTTTAACTTGTTTATGCAAATTTGTGCTTGCTAACGCCCAAGTACTTTAGGTTGTGGCTTTTTGCCAAGAGTTAGAGAGAGAGAGATGAGTTTAGAGAAAGCGAGCCGCTTGCCACTGCACTCTTACTAGATTTTCAATCACTTTGCTGCTTGCCTTTAAGGCCAGAGGTCTAGTTCCTCTTGATATTTGCAAAATGTATTGTAGTTTCAGTAGCTTTGGCGTACTACATACGTACCCTTTTTTAAATAAAGGCCAATCTTAGTGCTAGGCACTTGTATACTAATTCAAAGTTAGTTTCAGCTAGTAATTTTTATATTCTTACGTTCAGACCACAAGTGGTTGGTGTCTGTATTCCGAAGTTTCGGAAATACCTGTAAAGTATAAAAAATAAAGGGTTTCGTATACCTTTCCTGCTTGTGTTGTCTATTTCACACCTTCCTGAACATAGCTTGAGTAAGCTCCCTGTTCCTATTCAGGACCATTCATGTTTCCAAAGCAAATCAAGAGAAATACAAGTCCTGATAAGTTTGTAGGGTTTATATTTATTTTAACTAACATTTAATTTAAGCTATCTTTCCTGTCAAGCCTTTACTTTCTCCTGGAATGCCAATGATTAGTTCGTAGTAGAACGCGCAGAGTATTAAAATTTTAGCAGAAGTAATTGAGTTTAAATAGAAGGGAAACGAGATTGTAGGTGTGCTTCTTGAATCACGAGCCTAAAGGTTGCTTGGTAGAAAGTTTAAGAACCGCGCGTTTCGGCCTGTGTGCCTATTTCGTCAGTTCGTTGAATCTTTCAAATTCTTAATCAGAAATGTTTGCTGAATCTCAGCTGTATCTTAGAACGCGGTTAAGATAGTTACAATTATAGAGCCTCGTAGATAGTGACTTCGTTAGTTATGCATCCTGTCATTTATTTTTAGTTGTACTTTTTCTATTTTTGTTTAACCGCCGGGTCGGCGTAGTTTGTGAGCGTCAAGCGAACGCTACTGTGATTTCTAAAGTGAAATAAAAAGGGAGTTAAACCCTTCTTAAGAGTCTGTGTAATTTCCAGTTCATTGCAGTAACTACTATTGTTGCTGACAAGTTGGGGCCTTCCAACATCACAAGTTTACATGCATATCTGCAAGTTCATTCCACGTATACCGGTTCTTGTTACTTCTGCAAAGTCACCTAGTCAAATGAACACTGGCTGCATACGTCAAACAGCTGTGCTTATGTATGGAAGTTGTGTATACACAGCGCCCTCTACACCCCCATGCGTTTCGTCTGCGCCCATACTTTCCTATGTGAAATCTCCTTCTTTTCTTATTCCCTACCTCCACACTAAATATTGATGATGAATTCTAAATCACCCTGTGTATTAGGCTAAAGTTTCAATTTATTCAAAGTTCATATATATATATATATATATATATATCAGTTAGCCTCAGTTACTGCGAAGTTTTAGGCTATTTATTTAATGTTAATAGCAACTGTTTGTTTAACTGAATTTGGCGAACTGCAAGAGGGTTCTCTGCCTGAAACAAAGGATGTTTTCAGTGGATGATTTTCCAAATTTCCCTAGCAAACTGGAAAATCCCCAAATGCCGCCACGTCATTTGCAGAGATAATTTGCACCCGGGCGTAATTCGCAATATTCAACGGTCTTATCCGTCCTGCCATGAGTGGGCCATATGAATTTGTCATCAGTTAAATGCGCAATAATATAATGAAATGCGATGATAGTTTTCATGAATACCTGCATAACTGCTTAAAAATTTTTGCAACAGGGTTTATACTTTAAAAACTGTTGCTTCTTTTACTGCATATCGCTAAATATTTTGCTATCTTTGCAAATCAGTTGGTCGCGGCAATGCAGCATCACTCGATTGATATCCTTTTGTCAATTCTATCTGCTCGCTTCGTGTCTGTGTGTCTTATCCTGGATATTTTAAAGTGCCTTGTTGTTGTTGTATTGAAATCTGGCAAGTAGTAGCTATACAAAGGGCTGCAGGCGTCTATCGACTAATATTATTTTTATTATTAAATTAAAAAAAAAAAAACTAGCACTTAGTTTCGCCTATTTAAAAAATTTTCCATTTTACGAGTTCTCTTTTTCTAAACTGCAGCTTTTCTATAAACTTCACGTGATTAATAGGTGAAACACAATTTTTGTTACAGTTCAAATTCTTTCAACTTGTGTTATATTGTTTGGTTTATTTGATTATGGCAAAGACTCGAGGGCTATCTGACAAATAGAAAAGGATGCCTTCATGGAGGACTTTCGAAGAGAACTGACTCGTATACACCTTACATTGGGAAAAAGCATGAAAAACGCCCATGCAGCCAGCCCGTTCGCTGTGAATCGAAGTCCGGACCGATTTACAAGTGTTCAGCGTACCACTCGGTGCTTTAATGCTTTGGTGTCTTATTCTTGTGTATAGCAAGCAATTACCTACTGTTAGAAGATAAGTCCATAAATCCTACTAGGGGATTCACTTTTAAAGGTTCTTCACAACTGTGTCACCATAAAAGGTGAGAGCAAGTGGGTAGAAAATTAATTCAGCATTTGAGAAGTTTTGTTGTTGTCTTTTTCATGTAATTCATGGAAGAATGATTGTCAGAGGCTCAAGGAGGTTGGACTTCTACTTCCAACCGAAATTTTTTGAGGGAGAGCACCGCAGGGGATGGCCCGAGGGTCTTTCGTTTTGCTCTCCTAACACCAAACCACAACTAGAGGACTTTTAGCTTGCCATATATTTAGAGTGCCTCATGCCGCAAATACAATATATATATTTACAAACATCCATGCCTTCTCCGGGAATGGAACCGGGGCCCCTAACGGGTATCGCAGTACCACTTTGCAGCCTGGGCTTATCGCTCGGCCTCAGGCCGGCTGTGTTATGTTGAACTGAAGAGACTTAATAATTGTAGCTGATCAGTATTCGAGTGGATAAGATTTAAAATCTCTGATAATCTACCCAGGTTGCAATCTCGGGGAATGGGTGGGTGAGTTGATTCAGCACGCTGTCAAATCATGAGACAAACAGAACTGAGCATGCAGTTAACTGAGTGCTTTTAATGCGAAAGAAAAGTTCTTGAAAGAAATCAAATAACCCGTTATAAAGATTGGAATAATAAAAGAAATAAAAGAATCCTATCGCTCAAGATTACAAATATGTCACTATAAATATAATCTTACACTCCTCAAAAGTGAAATTGCAACACCAAGAAAGAATGCGCGTAGCGTCATGCAAATTGCAGGAGCGAGAATTGTGAGGTGGATATGCAAATGATAAAAGTTGCGCATGCATAGGATCACGTGGGACATCGGAGAGCTCAATACCATCGGTTAACAAGCGGGGAACGAGACTATATTATTGAACTCCATGAATTTTGTTTGCCGCTGTTCACAATAGCCACTCATGTTGTGCCCAACATGAGTACCATCCAACTTTGTGTCACACGATGGATTCAGGAAGGTGTATGTACACGTCGAAGAGGAAGTGGGGCGAACAGGTGCGCGTCAGAGCGCACAGACCGATGTATTCGGCGGTCAACTGCTGGAGACCCTTTCTCCACGTCACGTGACATCCGAAGCAGGTGGATCTGTGTCCATCCAAACTATACGCAAAAGACTGCATGGAGCACACTTACGTTCACGGGTACCATCCTCAGGTGTACCATTTGCTGCTGAACACAAGACTAGACGCCTGGTTTTGGTATCAACGTCATAGTGCATGGACTATCGAATGGCATCGGGTTTTATTCAAGAATGAATCTCGCTTTTGTCTGTGGAGAGATGATGGCCATCGACGAATATGGAGGCGACCCGGAGAACGCTACGAAACAATCCATTTCGCCGAGCGTCATATTGGTCTTGTGCCAGGCATTATGGTTTGGGGTGGCATAATGCTTGATCACAAGACACTCCTGGTACACATTAACGCCAGTTTGACAGCGGACCGCTATGTCACGCAAGTTGTGGAGCCTATTGTTCTGCCTTAGTTGTAGGGCGCACCTAGCACGGTACTCCAGCATGTCGCACGGCGTACTCTTAACAACCTACCCTGGCCGGCAGCTCTCCAGATATGAATCCCATCGAACACCTGGGGGATGTCACTTGACGTGACATTAACCGAGTACCACGGCCGAAAACCCTGGATGATCTGCGTAGATCAGTGGATGTGGCTTAGCAAAGGCTACTTCAGGAAACCATCAATGAACTCATTGATAGCATGTCTCGCTGGATTGCGGCCTATATAGCTGCCCGAGGTACATTAGATACTGAAAAAATTGGTTTATAATGATTTTATGTATCTGGTTTTTTAATTATTTGCATATCCATTTCAGAACTCTCGATACAGTGTAATAATATAATATAACGCACATGTTATGTAATTTTTCCATATGCGGTTTTTTAAATGATTGATATCTTTCTAATGATATATAACAGGCCTTTCTATGAGCTTTTCTTTAATTTCTTAAATTTCTTTTCTTGCCTTTAATGTGCAGCTAAATGGTCTATACGTATGCCACGCATAACATTCTTGGCGTGCATGTAGATATTGCAAGTCCTCACTGATATACTCAATTCGATTTTTAGGCTTCGCGTTTTCATCAGTCTTAATTTACATAGTTACTAAAATTTACTTAACAAAACATTTTACTTAACAAAACAAAAATTGCTACACATGATGTGAATATATAGATAGCATAAAGAATACAAACCAGTTGTCTTTGCTCCATTCTGAATCTTTCTCAATGACGTGAAAGGTATAAGCAACGCGAGCCTTATCGGTATGGTTTCTGTTACTTTTGTGCAGGACCGAACCATGAATCAGGACACAGTCACCTGAAACATGCCAAAAGTAAAAATATATCCCTCTATCTGATCATATACGAGGGAAAAGAAAGAAACAGAAAATTTTTCATCTGTTTTCTCTTTCTCGAAGAAACATTGCTGAACAGAGGTAATTGCCTAAGTTTTGCCTAAGTTTCCTAAGACAAGACACATGAAATATTTGAACTGTTTTCTACAAATTGAATTCTTGTTTTAAGAAGTTAACTTTTGAGGTCAACTAAATTGATTTTAATCTGCATGATGAGCATTTTCAGGGTGCATATGCAAGCATCACATACTTCAAATTTATAAATGTCATCACTTTAATAAGAAAATTATTTGAAAGTTTCAAAATCTAACTCATCTTTTACTAAAGCAGAGAAAAACCAACTGAATAAAAAAGGATTAGCGATAAAATACTAGCAGATGACAAAATGTAAGTACAGGAAAAATGATTACAAACTTAGCATAAATTTAATTGCTAGTTCCATTTATAGTAATACTAGATCTCAAAAAGGAGTCATGACTCTAACATTACACTGATGTATGTAGGTTTACCTTAATCATTGTTAGTTCCAGTATTAACTTTACGATAATATTTGACAGAAACCTAAAAACTTAAGTACGCAAAATTTGTGCATATGCCGTTGGAAGTGTTGCTAGATAGTACACTAAGAAAATTACAAAATTTAAAGGAAAAACATGATGCTTTTTGACTAAAATATTGTGCATAAGATATTTTTAAATTTAAAACAATGAGTTTAAAAATGTGAAGTTTATACAAAATAAGAGCAGAAACAAACTTTAGTCTGAAACTATCAGATTCACAGAAAGATGCAACTTAACCCGAAAAGGAGCACATGTTGTTTTTCGGACTTAATTTGGAAAGGCTATTTCTAAAAGTTGCTGGAGAAAATATGGAATTATTAACTATACCAATAAGCTTTTAAATTTTCTTTCTTAGTATTCCATATTCATATTTATGAAATAATTTACATGTCCTCCGATATAAAGTAAGTTGCATTAATGTATCTGCAGAGCTAGATTTCTTGGGATGTATATAGTGATTTGTTTTTCTCACAAATATCGAACTCATTAGGAGAACTAGGAAGGTATGCAGTATCTACATAATATTCTGCGACACTCTAAAAGTTTCTTTTGTTAAGAGACGATATCAACTACTAAAATGGCTAAAGCGGTTGTAGAGCACCTCATAACACAAACATCAAATGCTGTTTTTATATCATAAACATATATATCAGCTAATTACGTGTACTAATATCAGCCAATAATTCATGTCCAAACACACTAACTGAAAACTAGTATTTTCACTCTGAAAATGTTCATTGTGCTTTTAAAAGTTCTCTATCAGAGGATTGCTTACTTAATTTAGAATTGTTATCCAGGACAATCTGAGAAATGTCATGAAATTCTTTACTTGTAAAATAAACTGAATGACATTTGAAATAATCTGTAAATTACATGAAATAATGATTTTAAAATTTTATAAAAGAATTCCATTTCTGTTATTGTTATGAATTTCAACACGATTTATTGCATTAGAACAGGCAACCTTCTTTGAAAATTTGATGCAAATATGTACTGTTTTTAGCAAGAAACATCACTGGTAGAGATGAACTTATACATAATACTTGGTAATGCTAACCATGGAGCTCGTGAGATGAGGGTTAATATTTCGATGGTAGAAACGGAATTTAGATTTTCATTTATGATAATTTAAAAGTGTATCTTAACTACAAGAGTTTTGGCAAAATTTTAGAATGATGACAAAAGTATAGCCATATAAAAGCTCTGGATGTACATGATCATCATCATTTAGCTGAAAAACTCATTAGAGTTACAACAATGCTTACTCATTAGAGGTACAAAAATGCTTGAAGTAAAGCCGGATTCATTATTGGGGGCCTCATCAGCATCAGCACGAGAACTATAGAACATTTTTTTCACTGTATGGTTTTTCGGAGCTTACATCCATCTACAATGTTCCTCCGCAACACAGAGATAAGTAACTCCCCTTAGTTCAGCAGTGGAGATCACTGGACATGATTAGCATAGACTGGCCAGTCGCATTTATAGCTATTTTCGGTATTTGAAAAGCTCTATTTGTAGAGAAAACCCAATGAATCCATCGGTATCACATATTAAGAATAGTCAATATTTAGAATACAATTTAGAATACATCATAGCCTATATATTAAGAATATATAGGCTATGATGGCTCAGTAATAGTAAGGGGTTAATTTAGCTGCAGTTTAATGGATCTCTGTTACGTTTACAAATTGACCGATGAACATTAGGTGTGCATTCATTGAGTAGATTTAGAAGTCGTTCATATTTTACATTCATTCTGATAGGCTCGAATAGGTTCTTTCTGATACAGAAGCTTAGAGATGCCAATAAAAATTCACGTCAGTTTGATTTCCACTCGTGAACATTTAAGTCTCAAGATCCCGGCATGATCAGCGATCTCAACGCGATGTACAGCACAGAAATCCTGTCTTTCGAATGCAATAAAATTATAGACTATCCTGCAGAAATTATTGTCTACATAGAACACTCATTCATGATCATGGAACTCCTATTTCTGTAGTTTTAAGTTCCTGTGAAGGACTTAAGCAAGTTTACCAATGATTTTTTTCTACTTCTTGATAGAAAATTGAAGTATTATAAATAGTATTTTTACTGCTATTCTATAACTATATACAAATATCAGCCTGGATCTAGAACATTTTATAAAGGAAAAGAAAATCTTTTTATAATGAAGTTTTTTCCCCCTGAAAATTCAATTTTTTGTCATCTGTAAGCTATTTCCTAAGCTTTAGTAAAAGAAATGTACAACAAACCCTCGTTAATACGAATCCCAAGGGGTCGAAAAATCAAGAGTTCGTATTAACTGGGGGTTCACATTTTATTTTTGGAATAGTTTTTCCTACACATTAACCATTTGCAGATACATATCATATAGGCATATACGTAACTACAACAGTATATTATGCATGCCGTCATAGAGAGCACTACAGTATACATAAATTACTGTACTATAACTTAACTATAACTTGAGAAACTGCGCTCACTGATCATTTTCTGGTGAAAGATTCTTACTTGCAGACGAGAACGAAAATGCCTGGTAAATTCACAGCCAACTGTGCTCATAAAACTAGCAGTCAATCCAGATGCTACAGCAAAACGTTCTAAAATGTCCAAGATATGTAACACTTCCCGGCGGGTGGGTGGAATGATATTGTTCTTCTCCCTTTCTTCTGATGACATATCTTGCGCCTCAGACATAACTGATTTCACTGGAGTGCTCACGAAAATATCATCACCTGCACTTGCAAACTCCTCAAAACTAACACCAGGGTTCGCAGCGTCTTAATTAAATTATTCAGGATTTGACATTAATCGCACTAGCTAACTTTTCAAGAGTAAAAAAGCACATCTGAATACAGAATTTCATTTATTGATTGAAGCTCATTGTCAGGCAATGTTACTTGTGCTAGCTGTGTTTTAATTAATACTGTGTGTTCACTGTGGTTTTCAATTAAACGCGACACAACACATCTAAATGCAGTATAGCAGAGAAACAATAGGAAAAAAAATATAAACCACTTTGAAAGTTCGTGTTAAATGAAAAAAGTCTAATGACACAACGGACTAAAAAAGTAGTTCATTATTCGTGATAACCGAAATGCGAGTTCATTAGCCAGTTTAACTTCATTCGCATATTTCTGACTGCACAGCTGAACTTAAAATATTACTATATTCCATAAACTTCAGCTAGCTTTTGTCAATACGTGTTTAATCATTCAGTTTTGTGATCTTTGGAAGTATACAGAAAATAGCGAAAGCAAAATTGGAAACATAAAATTATTTAAAAAACAACTAAGAGGGATTTATCGAAATAAAATGTATTCATATTCTACTTTCCCATAAGTAATTTATATTTATATGATAAAAGTACAAACCTTTCTTTGCAGGTACTGGAACATATTTGCTCTGATCGTGTTCTGGTATTTCTCCTTTCATGATCATGAAAGGTTCTTTCTCAGGATTTCGTACGTATCTCCGGTATATACCGTCTATTAGAAAATAACGTATAAGAGCAACTAGTAAGTTAATTCACATTCACTTAACAAACTAAATAGAAAATGTATGATGCAATAATTAAGAGAACGGGAAATCAGATTTTTAATATATAAATGCACGTACATGCAGGGAAATGTTCTTTGAGGCTAGCAGAATTAAAGATATTAATACATTCCCTTTCCTACATGATGAATATACATATTATGAATGTACAGCACGATGTTAAATCTTCACTAAAGCATTAAAGCTAATATAAACACATGTATCAACAAACTGTAACAGCAGAAAACTGTAGCATCATTAAATATACCGGTGGTAGTTCTTTAATCTTGTACATGTCATTCCAAAACACATGCAAGAGGGATGAAAGTGTGCCTATATTAAGAGGTTAATTTGTTAAGGCAAAGCAACTCGAGGGCTATCTGGCTATGAAAAAGAATGCCCTCGTAGAAGCCATTTTGAGCGAAACTACTTTGTATCCGGGTTACGTATACGAAATGTCCGAAAAGATGTACTGAAAACGATAATTATAAACAGGAGCTTAATTAACAAATATGTTCCTAAGTTCACACTTGAGGCGAGATCTGTGATGGCTTACCTCAACCAATATTCATATAAGCCAGCAATATAGCTTCCCTTAAATGATTTTTGACCTGGTGTTGAGCCTTCGTATTGTATCTTAGTAGGCGTTTATATTCGATTTCCGTTTCTTTACAAAAAATTGCAAAAAATCAGGAAGTACCTGATAATTTTATAAAATCGATCTTAACTGTTTCGGTTGACAATATTTCATATCATTTGGCATTTATTTTCATCTAAAATCTCTCGGCGAAAATTATCGTAAGTTAATTTTTCTATGGATAAATCATTTTGTGATCTAAGAAATAATAACGCCATGCGCATACAATTACAGTTTGTTCATTGCCACTTGAATCTGCGAGCATTTCACTCACTCTACACTATGAGCAATTTCAAGAAGTCTGAAAGCCTGTTACGAAAGAAAATATCTGCTACAGCAGCGGAAGAGATTTCAATATGCCATTTTGTGAAAATCATATTGAGAGAATTTTGCCTGATAAAACCACCTTGACTCCAGGAAGTCGACTGAGCTCCATCATTCTCACCACAGTAAGTGATCAGTACATTTAACTCTCTGTATTAATTGAATATACTTTCAAGCATAATATATCTTTACTTATTTAAATAAAAAATACAATATACTTAACATTTGCAACATATTATAAAGGTAATCTGTTATAATCGATATTTAGTTTATAAGACGTGGTCGTCGATGATCTCATTGAACAGTAATGCTTGAGCAATATCTTCTTTTGTAGAAAGAAATTTATGGTAATTCAGCCTTTTTTCTCTCTTAAATATCAACTCAAGTGGCTTAGGAACTATTTCGAAAGCTCGAACTTCGCTGCAGTTTCTGGTACCAAAATTATCAAAAATTAAAACGTATATTTAATATAATAAACAAATATTTGTTTCTATCGTCGAATTTTTATGGTTTTAAATACATATCCAACAGCTAACACGTCTACCAAATCTTTAGCTTCCACTGTAGCATTTTCATGTGCTTTTCTTGAGAATATTCCCTTTCTTTTGAATTGACGAATTGACTCTAAATTTTTCTCGTGAAAGTGTTCAAAAATTAGCTTTTTACAATACAGTACTGTTTTTCAGTATTTTACTTCTGTTTCTCCGTAAGAACATCACCATTTCTGAGGATAATTTGGTTGATACACTTCGACAATCGACGTTCTAGACGGCTGTTTATGTGACCTTTGCTTAGAGCACGATCTGCCTGAGAAAAAATATCATTATTCATACAATTAATAGCTCTTGCATCGCCATTAGAATCTCAAAGTACTTCTCAGCTTTCAAATACTCGAGCCTGGAAGCTCAATGCAAAATAAATTGAAATATCTCCCATTACGGTGGGAGAAGAATGCACTTCGCGTAGTAAATGCTAGTAGTTGTATCATATTTATGTAATCTGTACTCTCCTCCACCTACATAGTAAAATATTTGCTGATTTTTAGTTCGCTGAGGACTTTCTTTTTCCCTTCGATGGCTGTACTTGAGATCCTCTGAGAAGCAGTACCATTGAACGACAGAAATAATGTACCTTCTGAGTGCCTGTTTGGCAAACGTAACACCAAACATAATGTCTTGGAGGAAAAGTTGGAGTTATTATAGGCTGAACTAATAAAGTTAAAGGAAATAAATAAAACTTGCCATTTGTGTAGAGTTTGAATTCAGCTAGAGCCCAGAGGAATTGGGCAGCAATACAGCCGAATTTTCGAGTGAAATCCCGTTGCAGCTGGAAAATTCCGGACTCTCCTTCATAACATGAGCTGTAGTACTTTTTTATATGACTGAATCGTAATATAAGCAGTCTATCCTGTTACCAATGTAGCAATTTTAACAGTTAGAATTTGATACCAGTTGCTGAAAAATTGTCTCATTTTCTCTTGAAAGAGAAACACACGCAGGAAAATTTTAACAGCTATAAGCCAATCTCCCATCTCGAAATACTTTCTCTTTAACCAGATGAATATTTGTGGTCTCATACGGTTAAGAAATCCTTAAATGAATTAGTCAAAGCAATGAAGCAGTTTTATCTGATTGCGAAGAATGTGACTGAAAACCTTTCTTTTGATTTTTTTGTATCCTTAATTTAGTTACCTTTTACAATTTTTTTAATTTCATTTTTAGGATACATTAGAATAATTCATTATTTCTTTAATTATTATTAATTTATAAATATTTTTATTTATATGGTTAACTTTTTATTTAATTTTAACGATCAGTTAACCCCCCAATCAGTTTTAACGATCAGTTAAGTTTGATAATTAAAGGAATAATGAATTTTTCTAATGTATCCTAAAATCAAATTAAAAAAAAAATGTGAAAGGTAACTAAATTAAGGATACACAAAAATCAAAAGAAAGATTTTCAGTCACATTCTTCACAATCAGATAAAACTGCTAAGGATTTCTGAGGACTTTCCTCAAACACTTCTCATTTAAAAAATTAAGCATGGCGTTTATCAGTTCTTCCAACGTCTTAGACAATTTTTAATAAAGATCAAGGTCTTTCATATTCATAGACTAAGCGTCTTTACTTTAAAAGATTCAGATGGCATACATTTTTGGTTCGCATGTTTTGTTAAAAAATACATTACAATTTCACTCAATTATTGGAAAATGTCCGCTGCACACATATAGGTTCTGACGCATTTTCTGAGCAAGAAATTTTTAGAGATAAGGATTCATCTCCTATTTTTTCCCATTTCTCTGAGCTTTTTAGTGATGAAAATCTTAAAGGAAGAAGGCGCATCTTGCATAGGTTAAACGTTTTTAGTCATCGTATTCATCTAAAGTACTTCACTTTCTGATTCAAGTCTTTGCATTTAAGTAGATAGTGTTTATTTATTCAGTTCCGTATCAGTCTTAAATGGCATGGTGTAGGCTAAGTTGGGAATAGCAGCAAAAATGTAAAATTGCGTTGGAATAAGAAGCACCCTCTGTGTGTATATTAAGGAATGGACTATTTGTAAATTGGGCATGACAGCAGAAATATGAGTTGGAATACGGAAACGATGAATGTTCGGCCATTATGTGTAAGGCCATTGAATTGATAGGAGTGCTGTAATATGGATCATTCTGATCAGGATACATTTCGTGAAAGATAGAAGATTAGGCATTCAATTATAACTAGAATACACTTGTCACCTTTTATTAAAAAATATAGTTTGTGATGCGGAGAGAAAAGAAATGAAATAAATTAATAAACATTGTAAAATGTAAGTTCTAATTATTGCACGTTTTAGATGCAACAAGGTGAAACATTTTCATTTAAAGGAACAGAAATATACTTAAATTTAAAAGAGTAATTCTGTAGATTCGTACGTTTATGAGATCCCGGAAGAAACCAAAGGCAGCCATTTTTAATGGTAGCATCTTCTAAAGGTAGCCAAATTCCGAAGCACGTTGGAGGTTCAGAGTACAGAAATGTGGAATCTTGATGAGGGGGAACTGAAAAAAAATATTATGTAGAATAAGGATCACAAAGAAGGGTCTATGACAGAAATAAGCTAATTATTATTCTAAATTATTAAAATTAGAATTAAGTACTCAATGTTTATTAAAAAATGAGTATTATGGAAATGTATAATTATAAAAGTTTAAAGAATTGATGGACTTATTCTTGAAAATGTTTTTTGATGAAGATGTGAATGTAGCGTTTTGAGATAGATTGGAATAAAACCTTGAATTACTGCACATATTTTGAAAAATTATGAAAAACCTAGATACATTTCCTATATATTTTCACATATTTTATATATCTTGCATGTAGAAACTATTTTTGGATAAAAAGTCTTAAATGAGTATATTTTAGGTGTATTTGATTTTAAGAGATCATTTTACCTGAAAGGAAATGAAATTTTCTTTAAATTTATCTTCTCGGTTAACAGTTTTCAAGATAAATTATGAAGATAATCAGGATTTGGTTTGGTTTGGTTTATGTGATTATAGCAAAGCCTCCAGGGCTATCTGCCTAAAGGGCCTTCGTTGAGGGCTTTTTAAGGGAAACTGGCTATACACGTTACACATGTGGGAAACCACGAAACCGCGCATGCAGCCAGCACGTTCGCGAGGTTCGAAACTCGGACTGAACTACCAGTAACCTAAATTATGGAGATAATCATGAGTACACATATTGTGCTTTCAAAATTTAGGTGTTTCTCAAAGTATTTTTGAAGAAAAACACGCATATTAAAATTACAGTGGATTCAGAGGCAATCAAAATAAAAATATCCATTAATATGAAAAAATTTCGTTCTTCGTTTTTTCTTGCCTTTTCTTTTGTTTCGAGTGCTCTTAAGATTTCGCAGCAATACATTCCTAGCATGAAGTGTATTACAACAAACGCAAAACGTGCATTAATCTCTCTCTACTTAAGGGAGGCTAGCGGACTACCCAACGAAAATAGCCACGAGATTTTCAAGGATACAACTCCTGCATGAGACAACATAGTGATGTGGTGGAAGAAAGCAACACTATAAGCGAAACTCGTACCACGAAGGAGTCGATAATGACACTGAACGTACATGAAAATACATTCATGCAATATTCACGTTATCATAAACATTCTGCATACTTTTTTCCACGAGAACATACGGTAATTTTCAGTTTCGTTTGGCGAAAGGGTTGCTTCACAGGAATTAGAACTAATTGCTGTGCTGTGCACTGGAAAACTTCGGCACTATCCTACAACATGACTGACTTTCCATCACTTTATTATATCACAATGAATGTCGTTCCCACACTGCGGAGACTCCTTAAACAGATTTCTTCAACCATCTTCCGAATAATGTGCTTGTCACTGTATGATAGTTATTGTTTCACAGTAATAGTTGTTAACAGTCAAACAGGTCCATTCTCTTTATACCACTCTATTCAGGCAACAAACACTGCCGTACAACAAGCATGCTGCCAGCTAAGTATACATCTTCTTACACAATGACCCTTATAAAACTCCCAGATAAATCATTCTTTTAGTCTATGGCTGCAAATATTCTGGACTCTACGTTGGTTTATACGCTCTTCTGAGGTTGCAGGAGGTTGCGAAATGCCTTTCCCCGGGCTTCTTATCTTTTGCATTCTCAAAAGCTTTGCAGTGATTATCGTCGAGAGATCTGATATTTTTTTTTTCCTTGTCAGAGGTTGTGTCCCCCCAGGGGTTGACTCAAGCGAATGCCTGGGAAGTACTGGTTAGGATCTGTACCTAGGCAGTCTCAACCACGGGGGTATAAAAACAGACTTCACAGAAGGCCTGAGGGCTCTCGGGACAGAGTAAGGCTCGATAGGGACCGTACTGGTACTGCCTTGTCTGCCTTTGCTCTGTGGGGTCGCAAAATGGTAGATTGTAAGAAATGCGGGACGGCACTCAATTCCGCAAGGCCACACGCTAGGACGGGAGCTGTCCTGTCACACAGAGTTGTCAGAGGCTGTGAGTTTAGTTAAGGGTTGTAAAGACCGTATTTTATTCTAAACAATTATTTTTAGTTCGACTTTTCTGTTCCTCCTGATTTCAGTTTCCTGCCGGAATGTAAATTTTAAATGACGTAGTACGCAAAATCTAAACGTGTTTCAGAAGCAGTACTTAAGTTGCGTTTCAAGAGTTCGAAGAATAGTAGCGGAGTTAGTTCCGAATTTAAGCAGCGTGTTTGAAATTAGCTTTCTAGTTGGTGTTAGACACCTTTCAGTTTATACTGATATTCTAGGCTCGGCTTTGATGTGTGCAGCAACTTTAGCGGTTTAGATAAGCTAAGGAGATAGTCGTTAGCCTTTCAAATTTATTAGTGATTTGTAACATGTGTATTTTCTTTTAAATATAAGTTAACCGCAAGTGGTAGTAAATTGTCAGTACCGAGTGCGTGCATTTTGTTTAATTTTGTTCAAATAAAAAGGTTATTTAAAATCTTCTTCTGCAGTATTTATTCTTCAGAGACATAGCGAGTATTCCCTACTTCGTTTTCTACGTAGAGTCTACAATTCATGCTTCTAAAGAGAGTGAGAAACTATATCTATAGGATGAGATACTTTTAATCTAAATTAACATTTTTATCAGCGAAGTTAAGGTTGCTGTGAAACAAAAAAGACCCTCAAGTATATTTTTAAACATAAATTTAAGCATTTACTTAAGTACCTGTAATCTCAAGTAAAATTATGTAAAGTATTTATGACAACGTGAAGGTTGCTTATTGTTTTCTCCTGCCACATCACTATGTATTGTCATGGAATGGTTGTATTGCGGGAAATGTTATGTCATGATATTCCCTAATCCCCTACTGTGTGACGTATGCATGGCGTCAGCATATGTTTCCCGCCTTCGAGAGAAGACGAGGATTAGCTGGCGAGCGGAGCAGACGTCGCTCGATCGCTCGTATACCATTTTCATTAATTGTAATCCTAATGTAATCTATATTTGTAAATACTAATAAATGTGTGTTATCAACTATGGTCGTTGCCTTTCCCCACATTTTGGGGGCTCGACCGTGCCTTTTGTGCATGCGTTATATCGAACCCTAGACACCAGCAATCACTAAAGACGTTCAGAAAGCTAACAAAGGCAAGACGTGCCTTTATGACGATTTAATATTCTTCTTCAAGCCAGACGACGTATGTGAATGAAGACGTGCCTTTATGACGATTTAATATTCTTCAAGCTGGACGACATATGTGAATGATGTTACATGCTACTTGTCCGTTTCTTCTGATTTTGGACGTTAAATCAAAATTCGATTTTGGATTACATTGGATTGGCCAAGATAATATATTGGATTATAAGGACTGCCCCGAAGTTAGGTAGGCCCATTTTTCTCCTGATTCGTTCATAATTTATTAGTATTACGATTTTAAGCTGTGTTTATACTGTTTAAATTCTCATTCATACATACCCTATTTCATATTCATATTGTCCTATTTTACTGTTTATGGCCCTAAGAACTATGGCCCTAAAATTAGGTGATATCCCATTGATAGCGAATTCTCTTAAATATGGCACAACACGAGTTATTAAATTATTTAATACCGTGCTCGGATATTCCGATTTTGATCATTCTTCGCGAAAGAGAATGCGAAATTTTGCCGCGTTCCCGGACAGTTTCGATTTGGCAAAACATAAAGAACTTCTATTAAAAGATTTCTCTTTATCAGATTTTATATATCAGTGGCTAATTTATTGCATTTGGAAGCTTCCACTAATAAAGATGTTTTATGTGAAAAAAATTTTCATGCGCTCACTAATCTGACGGATTTTCACAATTCCCTAGATGTTAGTTTTTTATCCGATGACGATCATTCAATTTCAAACACGACAGTGCACCGACGCCTGTAGGTCTAAGTTCTTCTGTTCCCCCTTCCCCTCCCTCCACGGCGCCAAGCCTAAATCGCGTTGTTTCTTCTGACGCGGAAGTAATAAATTTGAATTCGAGTCGCTCCGGTGTTTATATGACGGCGAACACCGAGATGAGTCATGACTTATGGTTTATTTTGAGAGATCTTTCAAACACTTGCAGAAACTTTTCAGGCAATGATTCCTATTCAGTCCGTGCTTTTTTCAACGATATAGAGGATAATTTCCAATTATTCCCAAATCTTACCGACCAGCAAAAATTAGTTTTTGCGAAACGACTTGTTGTGGGTACTGCTAAAACTTTTTTGTTTTCACAACGGAATCTCAATTCATACGACATGTTTAAAACATTATTACTTAATGAGTTCTCCGATAAAATTACGTCTATTGAAATTCATAAACAACTCGAAAGAAGAAAAATGCGCTCGAATGAAAGCTCTTTGCAATATTTTATCGCAATGCGCGAAATTGCGAATCGTGGTGACGGTGTTATCGACGAGGCTTCTGTCATTCAGTATACCATTCAAGGAATACTAGGTACCCCATCCGATAAAATTATTCTCTACGGTGCAAAATCATATTCTGAATTCAAGGAAAAGCTACGCACTTATGAATCTGTAGTTACGACTAGATATACATACAAATATCTCTCATCCATCAAATTTTAAAAAATACGTATAATGGCCCCAGACGTGGTACTGGACGAAAAATTCAGACCAACAACACGACACGAAATTTAATAATACTGGTTCCATCTAAAACTAAACCACAAACTTGTTTTAACTGCAATGATGTCGGACACCTCTCACGGTCCTGTCCTAATCGTTCTCTTGGCCCAAAGTGTCTAACTTGTGGTCGTTTTGGACACAAATCTATGGATTGCCGCCCCACTACATCAAATGAGACTTCCACTCCACCTGCCGAAGTAAATACAGTACAAACCTCTCACGGTAATATGTGTAAAACTGTCGTTATACTCAATAGCACAGTTTCTGGATTAATTGACACTGGAAGTGAGGTCACATTACTGAACGAAAACACATGGATTCAACTTGGTTCCCCACCACTTTCAAATAATTCCTGGAGTGTTAACTGGTTTCGGATTCTCGAAAATTCCTATTATTGGCTATTTTCAAACCATTATCAACATTGATAACCAGGACTTTCCGGCTAATATTAGAGTTGTTCCCAAATCATTCTATGCAATTTTCTCTTATTGTAGGAAATGACGTAATTAAAAATGCTAAATTAACTATTACACCAGACGGTATATATTTTTCAAAACCTCCCGAGCAATGCTTTGAAACTGCTCCTGAATCTTTCATTTTTGCAATAAATGACGATGTTCCAGCTTTTGATATTGGTTCAAATGTTTCCAAAGAAACTCGTGCTGCGGCAGAACGTTTGCTGAATTCTTATGTCCCAAATAAAACAAAGACGACAGATATTAAACTTAATATCACTCTATCCGATGATAAACCGATTTTTCACCCTCCTAGACGCCTTCCTTTTGTTGAACGGGAAATTGTTGATAAACAAATAAATGAATGGAACTTTAAATTATTGAACCTTGTTCATCTAAATATGCTAGTCAAGTTCTCGTGGTGCGTCAAAAAAATGGTACACCCTGTGTTTGCATCGATTATAGGAAACTTAATCGACTTTTAATTAAGGATCATTTTCCTCTTCCTCTTATTGATGACATTTTGGATAAATTCAGAACTCAAACAACAAAAATCAGCGTTATATTTACAAAATTTTCACAGGACTAGTTTCGATGGTTTTACCGAACCATCATCTTCAGCTGCAAAACCGCAAATGAATAAGATAGGAAATAATGTTTAGATAAGATAAAAAAGCCTGGACAAGAATAAGCAAGTGGCGCCATCTGTTGGCGAAACCAGAACTAAAACATAATTTCTCTAAAAGCCGAAGGCAAATTTGGATTGGAATTAGGATCGTTAACTAGAACAGAAAGATTTTTATGAATGTGAAATGCCTCTAGAAAATCCAGTTCTCCAATGGAAGATGTTTTTTGAATAATTTTGGCAGCAGAAAAATTGAAAGTGTGATTTTCGGACCAACAATGTTGAGCAACAGAAGACTTCTGTGTTTCCTTTTTTCTAACATATGCCTCATGTTCTTTGACGCGAAATTTTAAGGCTCTCTTAGTTTGGCCAATGTAAATTAAACCACACTGGCAAGGAATCCTATAAATACCCCAGGAATTCATATCCGGAATGGGGTCCTTGAGTATAGAAGTTGGAATTTTATTGATGGGAGAATAAACAACCCGAAAGTTAAATTTCTGCAAAATATGTGCAACTTTATAGCTAATTGATGGAAAGAAGGGAATGACAACAGAATTTTTATAATCTCCTAAAATAAGAGTGTGGCTTTTAGTGTGTTGAGATGAGAATTTTTTAACTGCTTGATTAATAATGTTGGGTGAAAAGCCCCTGTCAATAGCTATTGCTTTTAAATAATTTAGTTCTTCATCAAGGGCTAGTTTGGAGGAGCAAACTTGAAGAGCACGGAAAACATAGGAATAAAATGAAGCTAACTTTTGTTTAGTCGGATGACATGATTTAAAGTGTGGTGGAAGGCAAACCGATGAAGGTTTACGGTAAACTGTAGTACTGAAGTTGGATGTGTTACGTGTGACCAGAATGTCGAGAAACGGAAGAGAATTGCAAGTCTCAAGTTCAAAAGTGAACTGAATAGCAGGATCAATAGAATTCATTGTTGAAAGAACTTTATTTAAATCATCTTTATTACCTTCAAACAGGGTAAAAGTATCGTCTACGTAGCGGAACCATGCCGGGAAGTTTAAAGTTTCAAACAATTTTGATTCATAATAATGCATGTAGATATCAGCCAGGATGGGACTGAGGGGGCTTCCCATGGCTAATCCCTCAGTTTGCTTGTAATATTTATTTTGGAAAACAAAATGTGTTTGTTTCAAACAGAGTTGAGTGAGAGAAATTAGCTCATCAATTTCGATGCAAGAGAAATGAAATTCGCGAAGTCTGGTTTCTAGACATCTTAATGCACCCTCCACTGGGAACATTGGTGAATAATGATTTTACATCAAAAGAAACCATGAGTAATACTAGGAGAAATGTTTTTAACCTTTTTTTACAAACTCTATTGAATTTTTTATGGTGTAAATGTTATTGTCTAATAGAGTGGAAAATCTAGAAACTAAATATTTAGCTAATGGATACGAGGCAGTACCTAAATTTGATACAATAGGGCGGAAAGGAATACCACTTTTATGAATTTTGGGAAGAGCATATAATCTGGCACAATTCGCAACAGATGGGATAAGTGAATGTTTTAAGTTGCTTGAAATGATTTGCGAAGATTTGATCGCAGTTTTTATTTGGATAAGTCCGAAGGTGAAGGATCTTTAGGGATCGGATTATATGGTCCTTCGTTTAAGAGTTTAGTGACACCATCGATGTAAGTGTTCTTATCCATGACGACTATCTGGCCACCTTTGTCGGCCTTTGAAATGATAATATCCGGGTTAGAATGAATTTCGCGCATTGTAGCTCTTTCTCTCGCAGTTAGATTTGGTTTCAAAGGTTTATTATAATAAACCTTTGAACGCTGATTTTTGTTGTTTGACTTCTGAATTAGTATTTATTCGGCGTGTTATTGTGTCTTAATTTTGGATAAACTTCAAGACGCCCAAATTTTAGCTACGTAACGGCTTTTTTCATGTGCCAGTAGCGGACGAAAGTAAACCATATACAGCTTTTGTAACTCACAACGGACAATTCCAGTTTCTTCGAAAGAGTAGCTATGGGTGACAACAAAAGACTCAAGTTACTGACCAAAGATGGAAAATGGCGAAGTGTCTGGAAACTCCTCCGTAATTGCAGCCTTTATTGGGCCAAAGCACGAAGGAAGCCCCGAAACTACAACCGACCACCCCCTTTCAATTCCATGCTGATCAGAAAGCCGCATTTCACAGATTAAAATATTTGCTTTCTCAACAACCAGTTTCAAGTATTTTTAATCAAAAGAGTCCTATCGAAATTCATACCGACGCATCCATTGATGGCTTGGGGGCAGTCCTACTACAAAAATCTATGAACGATAACAGCTTTCACCCTGTCTACTACATGTCAAAGAAAACATCGGACAACGAGCGTAAATACACCAGTTATGAACTCGAAGTCCTTGCAATTGTTGAAGCTTTAAAAAAGTTCCGTATTTACGTCCTTGGTTCACATTTTAAAATTATCACTGACTGCAACGCTTTTGTGCAAACTTTAAATAAAAAGGAACTCAATTCGAGAATAGCCCGATGGGTTTTATATCTCCAAGATTTTGACTACGAAATTGAGCACCGTACCGGCTCAAAGATGGCTCACGTGGATGCCCTCAGTCGCAGTCCATGTTGCATGACTATCCAAGACAGTGTCCTTCTCCAGTTTCGCAAAGCACAAGAAACCGACGAGCATATTACGGCTATTAAAGCACTCCTTCAAACAACGCCTTCGTATGATAACTTTCTCGTTAAGAACAATCTCCTGTACAAAAACGTCAATGGCATTGACTTACTTGTGGTGCCTGAGGATATGCAGGCAAATGTCATTAAAACAGCTCACGAACGAGGCCACTTCGCCGTAATCCGTACTCAAGAACTTTTAAACAACGAATATTTTATCCCAAATCTGAAAGAAAAAATTGAGCGGTGTATCCATAACTGCATTCCATGCATCCTCAATAATCGAAAGCTTGGCAAACAAGACGGACTTCTGCACCCCATTGACAAAGACGACGCACCCTTGCACACGTACCATATCGACCACTTAGGTCCCCTTGCCACCACATCAAAGAAATACAAACATATTTTGGCAGTTATAGACTCGTTTACTAAATTCGTGTGGCTTTATCCGGCAAAGTCTACAGACGCAGATGAAGTTATCAGTCGGCTGGAATCTCAAAGATCAGTCTTCGGAAATCCTTCACGGATTATCTCTGATCGAGGCCCTGCATTCAAATCCACTGCATTTGCAAACTATTGTGACACACAGAGAATAAATCACGATCTTATTACAGCTGGCCTCCCAGGATCGAACGGTCAAGTTAAGCGTTTGAACTCCATTATTATTGCTGTCCTCTATAAACTCTCCATAACCAACCCTGAGCAATGGTACCGCCATGTTCCCGCCGTGTAACAAATTATTAATTCAACTTTTCAACGTAGCATCAATTCCACTCCCTTTGAACTTCTCTTTGGGGCTAAAATGAAATCGCAAAACGACATAAACATCGCTGCTCTAATCGACGAGGAGATCAAATCAGCATTCATTCAGCAACGTGACGATCTTCGTAAGGACGCAAAACAGCAAATCTCTTAAGTGCAAGACGAAAATCGCCGTAATTATAATTTGCTACGAAAACAGGCACAAAAATTTCAACTTCATGACCTCCTGGCTATCAAACGAACTCAGTTTGGCCCTGGTCTAAAACTCAAACAAAAATTTCTCGGACCTTATAAAGTCACCAGGCTCAAACAAAATGACACATATGTGGAAAAGTGTGCATTTTTCGACGGACCATCCAAAACATCCACTTGTGCTGAATACATAAAGCCCTGGTCCAACAATATTGAACGTATCACTTGATTTTTATACAACTGTCAGCATTATAGGTCCTCCTGAGTTTGGACAGATGAAACCTGAGAACTTTCTAATAATTTTTTTCCTCATATCAACTTTTTAATTCATTTTGTCATAACTAATGTTCTTTTTAGTTTGTCCCTTTCCTGTGGGGTGTTAATCGATATTAATGGGCTCCATTGGTAATTAATTATACCTCAAGTATCTCAGCTCATTGTAGCAGCAGGTCTTCTCATACCTATGTTACTATATTATAAATTTAATTTTTTTAATTTGATGATATATAACTAGTATGTTGGCTTCGGCGAGAGGTCGCTGTCCGGTCATGATGGCTCGAATGTGTGGGAAATGTTATGTCATGATATTCCCTAATCCCCTACTGTTTGACATATGCATGGCGTTTAGCATGTGTTTCCCCGCCTTCGAGAGAAGACGAGGATTAGCTGTTGACGGAGCAGACGTCGCTCTCTAGGGTCTCTCGTACACATATTTCATTAATTATAATCCTAATGTAATCTATATTTGTAAATACTAAATATAATGTGTGTTATTCAATTTATGACACTATAAGAATTGTCGTTGCCTTCCCCACAGTATTATACGATAATTCAGTCATTATGGCACATGGATGGGACCCTATGATGTGACCTAGATGCTTATCGTACCCACCATATATATTGCCAATATAGGGGTACACAATATTTGAAGATGTACTCCCTTTAATTGTATGATAATCGGGGGGATTGTTTATATTTTATTCGAACCTCTGTACTGGATCATGCATACATTATCATATTCACTGGCAGACGAAAGTTCAGACAATACAGCGTACAGAGTTGATACGAAACGAATTAGTGCGTTCAGTGGACTATTGTACGTGATTCTTACCAAACCAAATGAAATTTTTAGTAGAAAGCGGGCACACAGGATGAAAGTGGGCAGTAGCGTCTGGGGCCTGTGGAAATATGGAAAGATAAAAAAATTTCTGTAGTAACATTTTTTTGGTTTTAATTGCTTATTAATATAAGGCCGACATCAAGCAAAGGGTGACACAGAGATGTTTTAGTTCAAAGTAATCATAACGACATGGGGGTAACATGAATGTTAAACACAAAGGGGGTAATGTAGGACAAATGATGATTGAATTTGAATTACTGGTTCAACATAAGCTAACAAGGCTGTAAATTTTCAAAAATGAGTTTAATATCTGCATGGGAAATAAGCAGTATGGATAATTTTTAAAATATAAGTACTTACATTGTATGCTTTAATTATTTTCATTATTCAATTAATTTCTCACCTAAATAAGCTATGGAGCATGAGAAAAAATAAATGGAGCGCAGCTAATTTGCGAAAACGAAATCAGTGTACAATTGCTCAGCGTGAACACGAAAGGAGCGGTAGCGTCAGAGCGAATTTGTGTGAGTCATGTTATAAGCATAAAAAGGAAAGCTGGGAAAAACGAAATTCAAAAGATGGTAAAGTAGGGAAGCAAAGAAGAATTAAGGAATTTAGACTTACTCCAAGATATTGTAACATATCTCTCAAGGACCGAAGTGAAAGAGCATAACAAGGGTTGCGTTTCTGGGAACAAGGGGTTTTACATACCGCCCTGTTCGAACCAATTTCAGTGAATTTGCGATACAACGAGGGGCCTTGCAGAACATAAAAGGTTTACAACTAATCAGTTGCAAGTTCGAACGATTTTTACTGTGTTAAACAATAATGTTCTCAGCTAATTGAAATTAGGCTTTTTGATAAAAGTATATCGAAGCTAAGACGTTTTGTTAAATATGTTTAATGCAATTAATGTTTAATAAATCCATTAATTCAAATAAAATTTTAAGTTTTCATTAGTAAAATCCATTATTCAAATTTCATGATAAAAAAGACATTTATTACATCATCAATAATTTTTAGGAAGAAATTTAAAATTGTTAACTACTACAGCTCTCAGGTTGAAACCAATATTCTACAGTGTACGCAATGTAGACTGTAGAATTCGAAGTTTGGTTGAATGTTAGTTTCGTTGTGAAGAATAGAATGTATACATAGAAAGGGGAAAAGGGGGGAAAAAGAAATATTTAGATAAATTGAAATTGCTTTGAAATAAATAGATTGCACTTATGTTATAAAGATATCAAATATTCACATATCACAAAAATTACATATGTGTTTTAGGATATCACGATATGAAAAAAATACAGCATATTAATTAATTTCTCAAATAAATTTGAAAATTTTATACATAGAAAGGTATTATTTTTTTTAATAAATTATATTATTTATGAACTAAATTGGTGAGAGATCAATTAATTTGGTGAGAGACCAGTATTTTTAACTTACATCATTATACAGTTCAATAAATTTATTTTTTGAAATGCAATAGTTTTATTATCAAAATAATTACACTAAAAGTATTTTAATAGTAAATTGCCTATTATTCATTACCATTATATCAGTTTTGTTTCTTTTCTTAATAACGGAAACCCAAACCTTACTGACTAACATCTTTTCCCATAGAGAATCTCAGGCGACATATCGCTCCGTCTTAGCAAAACAATTATGACTTAGAAGAAAGTTTACACGAACGTTTTTATTAAAACTTGACAATTTCACACTTAGTGTTTACAACGATCAATCTCCGCTGCTTGTGGGATTTAAGCAACATAAAATGTGAAGTAAAAATTAAAGAAAGTAATACTTGAATTTACAAAGGCAAATCCTATGAAGCTTCGACTCAGGATTATAAGAGCGTGAGCAACATGGCTAGAAAAAGGCTAAGGCCGTTTTAATTCTAACACAATTTCACCAGAAAATTATCTCAAAAAAAAAAAAAAAAAATATATATATATATATAAGAAAGAAATATAACTGAAGTCAGCGTTGCTGCCAAAAGCTCACACCATTAAATTCAAAATTTCTGTTTTTATATATTCACTAGATGATTTGCTACCTGGTGAGAGCCGACGAAAATAGAAGTAGAGATAAAATACTAAGATAATGATTAAGGAACATAAAACCTTATAACGGCAACTTGGTAACAATCCACTGAAGTGCCACTGAATTAGGGACAGAAAACCTTTTGCAAATATCATGGCATTGCTTCTTCATTTTTGCGCATATGAGGAGGCAGATTCTTTAGATTTATATAGTCTTTAGAGAAATAGTATACGCACTTCTAAAAAACTCTACAGAATTCTTTTTTTTTTTCAAGGAAAAAAAAAAAAAAAACTGAAAGGTTTCAGATTTTAAATTACGTCCAAAGGGACTTTTTTCAACATTTTGTATGTTACCTTTATTTATTAAATAACATGTTCTTAAGTTCTTCGCACTTAAACCATAAAATTCAGTTCAAGAGCAATATCGCAAAATAATTTTAAATTGAGCGTATCTTTAGAATTTCCGGTACACAATCTCATGCGCTGGAGATAAAAATGCTTTTTCTGTACAACGTTGACATTGCTCGCTTTGAATTCCTTGAGTTTGTTAATCAAACGTTCGTTAAAAGTTTTACAAAATGTGAAATCGATAATAAAAACAAATTTAAAATTTAACATTTGGGCTTCCAGATGCCCATATTCGTTGGAGGATTACGTCATTTAAAATTTGATGGCTTTAGGTACCGTTGTTTTATCACAATGCGAGAAACAAACATACATTTATGCAGATTCTTCATTGTTTAATTTCTTCAAATATAATACAGGGTGATAATATTTGGTGGCAACAGTCTGAAAAGTGAAACGGACATTCAGAGTAATTCAACGCAAAATCGCAAAAGGAAAACAATAGTCCCTCAGGGGCAAAGACCCCTTTGGACTAAAAAAAAATTGCCTTTGTTCATACAATGAAATTTGATAGATTAGTTTGGTTCTTCAAAGGACAAGAAAACCTCCACGGGGCATCCCTCCCTCTCCGTATAGTGCCTAAGCGAGGAGCACGTAATAAGTAAAAAAAAAATAAAAAAAAAAAATAAAAAAAAAAGGGTGGGGGGGGGACAAGAAACTGTACGAAAAGTTTCCGAAATGTCTTCTCGCCCTTTTTCTTAATAATTTAACACCAAATCCGAATTTTCCTAATTTTATACGACACTATTTTTACTATACTCATGCTAACCTTTTGCTTAGTCTTCAGATCGCTAAAGTTGCATTAACAGTAAAAATAAAATGAATTTAACTTATCCATGTAGTTAATGTATATACTTTATGAAATTAAAAAATAAGTAGTGAAGACCGCAAATTCTCACGCAATTTTTAAGCATGTTTTAAAATTTTTATACATGCTTTGTCTTTAATATTATTTAACCCTTTCAGGGGCGGTGGCTTCATCTTGAAACCGCATTTTCAACATTTTTTTAAATTTAGAAATCTTTTTTAATTTAGAAATTTTTTTTTTCTCAAAACCGCTGCTAAAATTAAATTACTTCTTAAAGCTGATAACAGATGGCAGCAGCAAACCTTTCTGGGCATCATTAATTGATACGAATCATTCAAAAATAGCTTCTTTTGCGCAATACTCTTTTTGACCCATTTTAAAAACAAAAAACCCAAATTTTTAATTTTTCCACAATATATTTCACAAGCAGGCATCAATGAGTAATGAAATGCCCTTAGTTCACAAAAAAAAGTAATGGGACCCTTTTAATTTTGATTGTTTTCATTGCGGTTTCAGTATGAAACCACCGCCCCTCTGGGACATCAGTCGCGAGATTTTTTGCAGTTGTGTTTATTGCTTTCGGATCACTGCTGTAAACAGTTGCACAATATCTTCATTTGAGTGGCTTCAAAGATGAGGATTTATGGAGCTTTTAAGAGAGGGAAAACATTTCTTATTTTTTACAGAGACACAGAGCACACTGAAAAACACTCACAGTTGCATTTTTATTCGCTTTTCTCATGCTTTTAGTTCATAGTAAAATAATTGTATGCATTTTAATTTATTTTATTTTTACATATAATTTTCTTAGTTTTAAACATAATTTTTAAAAATATTTCATAGTTTTATGCAAGTAATTTAGTGCATTATTAGTTACTTTTTGTCTCATATTTTTTTGTTTCCTGTTTTAAATTTTTTATTTATAATTAAAAAATGCGTGTTTATGCAAATATTACTTACTTCATTAATTGTTCAGTAATTTACTAGTATAATCTGCAATTTGGGTTACGTTCAGATACTTTTCAGCAAAGTAAAGATAAATAAGCAAATGTTTAGTCTTAAATGCTCTAGACGGGCGCTGGTTTCAAGGCGAAACCGGTCCCCTTTCCATAAAGGGGGACGAAAAAAAATTTTTTTTAACTCATTTATGTTGTCTATAGGACCACTGCATGTCATTATGCTTACTTTTTCATAACTTTTAAAAAATCAGAACATTGCGCCCCTGAAGGGGTTAAAGAATTTTTAATTGTCTTCATAGTTTTTAAAGAATGTTTTTTTCCAACTGCTAGGAATACAAAGGGCCATTTTAATTATGTTTTAATAATTAAGTTTAAAATATAAAAACCTTTTTTTTTAACTTTTGATAGCTATATTAATTTGAATCAGCACAACTAACTACTCTAAAATACCGGGTGATCAAAAAGTCAGTATTAATTTGAAAACTTAATAAATCACGGAATAATGTAGATAGAGAGGTAAAAATTGACACACATACTTAGAATGACATGGGGTTTTATTAGAACCAAAAAAAAAAAAAAAAATACTATTATCGGGCCTTTTTTCTTTGAGGAAATGCGTGATTCTGGTTTTGTAACTGCTACTGTGACGGGTGAAAGGTACGCCGATATGTTACAGAATCGCATCGTCCCCAGCCTGACTGATAAACACCTGCTGAAACGTACGATTTTTATGCAAGATGGCGCTCCACCCCATATTGCTAAACACGTGAAAGATCTCTTGCGCGCCTCGTTTGGTGATGATTGTGTGGTCAGCCGCCACTTTCGTCATGCTTGGCCTCCTAGGTCCCCAGACCTCAGTCCGTGCGATTATTGCCTTTGGGGTTACCTGAAGTCGCAAGTGTATCGTGAACGACCGACATCTCTAGGGATGCTGAAAGACAACATCCGACGCCAATACCTCACCATAACTCCGGACATGCTTTACAGTGCTGTTCACAACATTATTCCTAGACTACAGCTATTGTTGAGGAATGATGGTGAACATATTGAGCATTTCTTGTAAAGAACATCATCTTTGCTTTGTCTTAATTTATTATGCTAATTATTGCTTTTCTGAGCAGATTATTGCTTTTCTAATTATTTCTTTTCTAATAAAACTCCATGTCATTCTAAGTATGTGTTTCAATTTTTACCTCTCTATCTACATTATTCCGTGATTTATTAAGTTTTCAAATTTATACTGACTTTTTACCCTAACTAATTTGACTAATTTATACTGATTATTGACCCGGTATATGAAAATTGAAGCTAATCCTCTTAATATAAAACACATTTTCTTCCCCCTCAATCCCCACTCAATTCTATGAAAATGTTCATAACAAACCTTAAATATCAGCATGCTATGAGTAACGACAGGTTCCTTATACCCAAAGTTGCGCAGCAAATCCTAAAAGTAAGACAAGACAATATTGATCAAATGCCATATTATTTAAAATACAAAAACTACGGGCATACTTAATTTTTAGCATTGAAAATTCGGCGCCTTTTGTTTATGCATAAAAATAATATTTAAATAGTTTTAAAATGTAAAGAAATCAAATAAGGAGTTCTTGTAAATTAAAAAACAATATTATTAAATTCCCAAAGCTTATTTTAATACTCCACAATTTTTTAAATTCCAATGAACACAGATTATGAATATGTGATTCCTTAACTACTGTAACAAAGTACATTTTTTCTTCCAATAGCAAGAATATAGCTCATTAATCCTTTATCGAAAATTATAACCGAATTCATTTTCAATTAGAAGTCTCATCACCAAGAACGTACGTTGCTCAGGCACACTATAGGGAAGCTATTGATACTACATCTGCAAGGAATGAAGAAGTTATATTCATACAGTTACATATGTCGAGACTCTGATCTATACCTTTGGTTTCGGGCAAGCAGTCAGCCTTAGATAAACCCCATACAGTCTAGAATGACTATAGCAAAATATGCGAGGGCAGATGATCTTAAACGGGGACATTTCGTAGTGAACGTTTTAAATGTTTTAAACATAATTAATTTTAAACATAATTGTTTTAAATCAGCCCTATCTTCGGGAACTACACTTAAAATAATCAAGCATTGCTCACAGCGGCCTTTCTCATGCGGGCATTAGTGGTAAGAGGAATTTGATTAATACAAGAAAAGTCTGTTTGTTCAGATAAGAAGCTTTTAAGATGTCCATGCTCATAGTAAAAAAGGAACAGCTTAATTAATAGAGAACCTAAATCCAAAGGCTTGTAAATAAAAAATACAGAGGCTTCATTTGCAGAGAAAAAAAAAATTATTGGGCTAATGATACGATATAGTTATATCTACAAAAATTAAAATAAAATAATAAATAAAAATGTCTAATAATAAAATTTAGTTTAATACTGACCGAGCAAAAGAGTCGTAAATGGGCACAGAATGGGCAATGAAGAAAATTTCCTTTGAAGTTATTCATTTCCGCACGGGTATTCATTTCCAATGTTTGTATATTATTTCCCAAAACTAATTGGTAATTATAAGTACCTCAGGAAAAATAAACACTGTTTCAAATTTACAATATTTTTAATGTAATATTATTAATATTTTATTCTGTAATATCAATAAAGTCATAATCTGAATTTTTAATATAAAATATGGTAAATCTGAACAAATCTAAAAAAACTTCCTCAGTTGTTATATAATAAAACATAGTAATTATAGGCTTATTTTATGTCATTAAGCATTATCAACACTGAAAGCACTATAACTTACTTTTATTTTTTCACTAAAAGTGATTTTTTTTGAATCTGGGACTCCACCAATGCAAAGCTATTTAAAAAAAAAAAAAAAAAAATTATATGTATATAATATATATATATAAAGCACGTTTTACTTAAGTATCGATATGATTTATGAAATTATAGTAAAATTATGAAAGTAAAATTAAGCAAAAAGTATAAAAACAAGAACTCATTAAACGTTTTTACTCAAAACTGGAATATGAGTTATATTGGCATTCAGTAGAGGCATTCATTAAAACTGTTCGATGTTGTTGCAATTCCAGTGAACCTTGATCATAAATATCATCCTGTGGAACTCTCATAGGTGCCCCACTCATGATTTTCTATAGAGAATATAGCATTCCAGATTTAATATTTATGTGCATTAATTTTTGAAATAATCTTTGTCATACTCTGCAACTGTTTTGATTTAAAAAAGTTCTGGGAAAAAATGTCAGAAATTTGAACTGTTACTTAAATATATTTTGTCAAATTATATTGGAAAAATGAACGTCAAGATTAAGATTTAAGAATTTTAAATGAGTGCTTTGCATTTGTAACCTTTTTACAGATATAAGTGAGTTTTTAAAAACTGTGTTCTTCATTTCTATTTTCATGAAACCCAGATTTCAAATTTAGATTTAACTGAAAGCATTTCGAGATTGTTTTCCGCTTTCTTCTTAATAATCTTATATTAATTAAGAATTCGAAAGATTCGAGAATCTTTGAAAAATCGGATTCGATAAAATTTAGATTCGTCCTAGCTCTAGTTTTAAGTCTTAAAATATATCCATTCTTTAAAAGCAGAGCTAGAATAATAATTTTAGAAAAGTAAAAGACAAAAAGCGGAAACGAATGGAAAATCGTCTAGAAGTGTATTTAAAGTGTATTTAATCGTCTAAAAGTGTATTTAATTTATGTGCTTTTAACAAAATGAAGGATTTCTATAGTAAAAACAAATTGTTAACTAATCAAAATATATAAAATTTTCAATTGTATGATTTTTTAAAAGTGCATCATTTACCTTTTCGTTGTTGAAATATGCAGAAAACACTAATTCGAGCTAATTAAATATCACATTTTGACTCATTAGTTACTTCATTATAGTATGCGCTTGTTATAACATTGCTAAATATATGTTATACGAGCATTATTTAAATATTAGCAAAGCGTTTTATTGAAACTATAGGCTCATTCTCTTAATGAAAATGTAGATTCATATGTGAATGAAATAATAACGTACTCATTACTCATTCCCACAGAAACTTACAAAAACAGAAGGCAATAGAAAGATGAATTTAGGTTGCTGATGATAAGGCGGAACTGAACATTTTGATAAGCGCTTTTATTAGAAACAAAGAATTTGAATAATTAAAGCAGAATAATGCTTACAAAATTATATGTACACTAGTAAGAGGTTGGGCAGTCGAATTTGGACTGATGAAGACACAAATTGTTAGCCCAGAAGAGCTATTAGTCTTAAAACGGCATTTTGCGTCGAAGCACTATAAATGGCTGTATCACTTTTCAAACTGTTACCACCAAATACTATTCCTCTATATTATATTTAAAGAAATTAAATAATGCAGAATCTGCACGAATGTATGTATGTTTCTTGAATTCTGAAAAAAAAAAAAAAAAAAAAAAAACGATAACTAGAGCCATCAAATTTTGAATAACGTAGTCCTTCACTCGAATACGGGCACCTGGAAGTCCAAATATTGAATTTAGAATTTGTTTTATTTATCTACTTCATATTTAAATTTTAATGCAATTTTGATGAAGAAACTCAACAATTTCAAATGGAGAAGTGGCAACACATTGTGCTAAATAAAATATTTTCATCTCCAGCGCGCGAGATTGTTTATCGGAAATTTCAAAGATATGCCGTTTCTAAATATTTTTAGCCCAAATGCTTTCAAAACGTTTATGTATGCGTAAATGAAAGAAAAAAGGGTCCCTTTGGGCGTAATATAAAATCTGAAAGCTTTTATGATTTTTTTTATTTGAGTGAATTTTAATTTTAAGTGTAATTTGTGTCATTATCAGTTTAGAAACAGGCTGTTTCATTTATTCTATCGATGCATCAATCGCCCAAAGAAGATGTCTGGCAGATCTAAATACTTCTTTTATTGGATTTAATTTTTATTGTTTTGAAATTCAAGATTGGAATCTTTTTCTTATTTTATCACAATGTTCTGTTGCTTTTGCAAAGTAATTTATTTAATTATTACCAGCTCTTCTTTCTTAGTTGAAAATGCTTTGAATTTAAATTTTGTTGTACTTTATACATATATAACAAAACAAGTATACAAATAGGATTTTCGAAACTTAAATCTAGTGCTATTGTTGCTAAGATTGTGAAGCAATATTTAATTAAGATAATTTTATAATTGTAAATTTAATAAAAACTAGGCAATTTCAAAATTTATATATATATGTAGAGTAATAATAATTAAACTAACTCATTTGGTGTTCATTTCGGAAATTTTTTCTTAAAGGGCAATTCAAAAATTTTTCATTTATCAAATCTTTTATTTTGTTACGAAAGAATTTAATCTTAATCGAAATTTCAGACCTTCATCCTAGGAAAATTGTAGTTGGCAGACTATGTTTCTAGCTGAACTTTATTATGAAGTCGTCAATGTTAAATTCAATGCTTTCTAAACAAAAACATTTTGAAACTCTGGCGACAGGCCTAAATTTGGTTTCAAAGCTTCATTAGTTCTCTTAAGTAATCAACTACTCTCAGTAATCAACTACTATATTTAGATCAGCTATTACAATATGTTGGTGGTGAGAATCTGAATTAGAGATATGCTGTGGTATTGCAAAATCAAGAGGATTCAAAGTATAGTTCATGATGATTGGTTACCTTGTTGCTAAGAGTATTGTAATTAAAGCAAACTAATGTCTTAGAATCTGTCAAGATAAGAGTTCAAAAAGTATAAAAATGAAAGTTCTAAATTGAGAACTTTTAAAAATCTTGTTGAAGTTAATTTAATCAAACTCTGGATGCAGAAATTTAATTTTGCAAAATTTTTTGTTGCTTTTATTGAAATTTGACAAAATCTAAGAAACAAAAGTCTTTAATTAATGCAATTGTTTAATAAACATCCTTGAAGAAATTCTGAAGTTGCAAAAGTTGTTCGTTGGTAATAGTGTACAGTAGCTTCAATACAGTTTTCGTGAATCCGAAAAATTAAATAAATTGTAAAAATTATATTGAAATTTAGCAGCATTAAAGTTATTAGTTTAGTAATATACACTGGTTATCATAAATTAAGGAAAAATCGCAAAAATCACGATTACTGAAAAAGTTACGTGTAGAATTTAATGAAACTTACCCACAATATCCAACACATAGTAAGGACATAGTAAGGTATCAAATAACATAAAAAGAAATTACCAGACAAATATGGTAGTTAGCACATGTATAAAATGAACTAATCGAAGGTATCAGTTTGCTATAGGAAAAGTACCTTCAATGGGGAATATGATCGTCTCTAGAAGTAATACAGCAAATACAGCGATGTGTGATGCTTTCAATTATGCGGTCTATCAGTTCCAGAGCAAGCGAGAGCCATTGCTCTTGCAAAGCAGTTGCAAGCGCGACAAGGGTTTGAGGGGGTGGATTGAGAGCAGCTAGACGTCTCCCTAAAGCATCCCAAACGTGCTCGATAGGATTCAAGTTCGGGGATCGAGCTGGCCACTCCATGCTCATAATTGCTTCCTGTTGAAGATAATCCTGTTGAAGATCATCTACAATGCGAGGCCTGTGTGGTTTTGCATTGTCGTCCTGTAACGGGAAAGCATCCCCTATTGCCTCGCATATGGGCACACATAAACATCAAGGATGTCATCTCTATAAATCTGAGCATTCACGGTTCCCCTTGGAAAGACATGGAGGTCTGTGCGTCCACCCAAAAAGATACCACCTCAAACACAGACACTGCCCCTTCCGTATGCATCTCTTTCACGGATGTTTGACGGATGATAACGGGTTCTAGGTACTCTCCATATCAAATAACGCCTAATATCGCTTTCTAGACTAAGCCTGGACTCATCCGTAAAGAGAACCGCCCTCCATTGATCAGGCGTCCAGTGTACATGTTGTCGTGCCCACTGAAAACGGTCCCTCCTATGGCGTGACGTGAGCAGCACACAAATGGCTGGTCGCCTCGCATACAGTCCACCTTCGTGAAGCCTTCTACGGACAGCTGACGTTGACACCAACCTTCCGGTGGCTGCAGCAAGGGAGGATCTAAGAAGAGTCGGAGTAGCGGTTCTATTCCTGAGTGCACATAATGTCAAATATCGGTCATCGGCGCTCGTCGTAGCAGTTGGCCGTCCTTGGCTGAACCTCCTAGATTCCGAATCTGTGGTTTGAAATTTTCTCCAAAGTATATGAACCGCAGAAGAACTCACATTTAGCCATCTGACCACTTCTGTTTGACTTTGTCCTGCCTCTAGTCTCCCAGTGACTCTCCATCGCAGTTCTGCAGGTAATTGATGCCTGGAGGTCATTGTTACGAATTGGCTATCTTAGATTTCTGATGTCACTGTCACAGTGAAATAGGTGGGCTTGCTCTCAAACATGGACTTTTATGCTCCTCGCAGATGATGTATTCCGAAAGAAGCGCCACTAATTTCCATATCGCAGTTTTACTCAGCTACTCTTACTTGGCAACATATTCAAATTTTACACGGTTTGGTTTATTTTTGAGGGAGTTATCGCTATTTTTGTTATCGCTATTTCCCTTAATTTATGATAACCAGTGTGTTTATTATATTTTATAATTTAATTATAATTGGGATTACTAAAATGGATCTAATAAATCTGAGAAAATGAAACTTATTTTTTGAGTTCTACATGCTGTATTAAGCAACAGCAGCTCGCTGACCACCTCCTGATGAATTCAGAGAAATATTGTTAATGAAACATCATCAATTTAAAATTTTTTATAATTTTAATAAGCTCTAATTTTAATCAGACCTTCTTCAAAATAATTTAATTTTGATTTTACACTTTACTTTCAGTCTTAGCTAATGGCTGTTTACTAACTTTTACAGTAAAATTAAATAATATTACTCTACATATTTTTTATTTATATTTTAAAATTGCCTAGCTATAATTTGCTTTAATTAAATATTATTAGTATATATTTATTATTACTTTAATTAGATATGTATATATGTATATATATATATATATCAGAATGCTAGTAAGACAAAATCAAAATTAAGTCGTAAAATCAAAATGTTGACAAGACCTTTAAAAATGTATTTTATTTGTATTCTATCTGTTTCTATACAGAGATTTTTACTCAGTTTCTTAACTATTGATTCTTATTTTATGTTTAACATATTGTTCTCTAGGATAATAAATTTATTGTCTTAAATCGCGTAGAGAAATTTTTTTCGCATTTATTGGAAATCAAAAATTTAAATTCAAGAATTATATTACTTTTTTACATTTTTTACATAGGATGATTATTCAAAAAGGCGAGAGAGACGAAATGCGATTGAATTGAATTGTTGATAATTTTATAGAAAGAGGCTTAATTTCCCTTAAAAAGTCAGGATCATTCTATGGAATCGCCACCAGTTTTCCTTGTAAAATACTTTATTATATTTTAGAAGTATTAATATAGTAAAATATTTTTTATTTATTATTAATATTTTATTTAAATTTTTCATTAAATTATATACATATTACGCCTTTTGCTTCTCATAATACGTTCAACCTTTATTAAGTTTAACACTTTTAAAAATATCCTATTTTATTAGTACTTTAATAAATATGTCATAAAATTAGTATTTTGTTATCTTTTCCTGGAGGATACTCAAATTGAAATTAATTATAAAAATGTATGTATGTAAGGAAAACTGTTGTAAATTAAATAATTTAATTTCTTACCATATGCGATTTTATTAAGAGCCTCTTTTTTGTCCACAAGCAAATTTCCTATATAAATAAATAAGTGAATATAATTTAGAATTCTGCATAGGCGAAAACTTCTGCATTATAGGTGCATGCATAGTTGAATTACCAGTAGTAAGTTTATACTACTTTATTACAGTGAGATTAAAATGCGTACGATGACTTACCTTCTTCGTCAAAAGCATCAGCTTCAAAAAAATAGGCAACTTTGTCTCCCGAGTTAATGTAATATTCCTCATCACTCTATTGGGGCAAAAATAGCATTTAGTTACAAATATCTAGACTGAGCTTTAAATTGTAAAAACATTCTAAGCATATGAAAAGGAAGCTTTAATTTCCAAGTAATTTTAAATTTGAGCATGGTCACGTACACATCATTAATGCTAAATTCACTGTATGATAAAATTTTAGCGAGAACTAAATACAACATTAAGAATTTAAATAGAATGGTAAGTGTCTCGAATTCTTGGGTAGCATAAACTGACTAGATGCTAACAGACTGTGTAAGGAATAATACCTAAGTATGACAAAGGGCAGCGAAGGGTCTAAAGAGCCCTTTATTAATGCAATAATGTTCACAGATGGCACCGAATCATGTTTACAAAAGTCAGCACTTTTGACTTAACTCAAAAGGTAATAAGCAGACAGAGTTAAAAAGTCAAAAGGTAATAAGAGACTTTAAACAGAGTTAAGTTAGTCTAACGACTTTTCACAGGTTATTTAACGCGCAGATAGGCTCTGATTCGTAAAAGTCGGCGGAACAGGCTTAATGCGAAGAAGCGCTCAGCGCCACAGAAATGTAATCGCTAGTAAACTAGAGATAGCAACGTGGCCTTCAGGCAAGCAGAACACGTTCTAAATTCACCCTCCAAAAACCTTCTCGTAAATATAAACTTATTTCTACCTTATTTGAATACATCCGCGCTAACTAATTTACATTCTAAAAAAAAAAAAAAAAAAAAAAAAAAAAAAAAAAAAAAAACGTGAGTTGAAATCGAGAGCAATAGGAAAGGTTGCTTTAAAATAAAATTAACTGTTAAGTAACTTAAATAAATCCACACAAAGTTAATCAAAATTCAGATTTTGAAATCAAACCAATCCCCAGTTGAGTTTTGTCTAATTTTAAAGATCAAATATTTCTTTCGGATGAATTATTATTTTACTATTCTGATAGAGGCATAGAAGTTTGATGTGTTACAGTTGCAGTCCTCTCATCAAACGTAGAACTTATAAGGTATTTCTCTCCCTTCTTGGCGTGCCTTCGTGGTGTAGTGGTCTGCATGCTGGGCGCGTATTCCAGAGGTCCGTAGCTCGATTCCCGGCGAAGGCATTGCATATTTTGTAATCTTTCCTGCTTCCAAATTACCTAATGTCTCTACAAGCTGTTTTCGGAAATGTGCCATGAAAGGTCAGTTTCCACTGTAGCTGCGAAAAGAATGTTACTAATATTTCTCTTCCAAGTGAACACTGGCATTCTTTCTTTATTATTTAATAGAAATGATCTAACTTTTTTTTTCTTTTTTGTTGCATATGTATCCTGTAGTACTTAAAAAATGAGAAAGTGCAGAATAATCTTACCAAAATACAAAATAAAGTGACATACCTCGTCAAAATTTACTACTCTTTCTTATATAATTGGATTGAATTATTTTCTCCTGTGCGAAGAAGCATCGCGTGGATAAACGTAATGTGGATAGATAGTATATGCCTGAATTCGAGGTTTTAAATACTATTAAACATTCGCTTTTCCAGAGAGTGTTGCTAATTTTCATCGCTTTCTGTCAGCATTTTCTCAAAATCTACAAATGCATATTTATTTCGCAACAAGAAATTTCTTATGAATAAAATACAGTTATTAATTCACACAATTAATTCACAAAAGTGATCGTTAGTTTCCAAAAGTAATGTCAAATATTTTTAAATGCAGTAATCTAAAATTATTTTTCAAGTATGATTTACCTAGTCTTCTTTATACAGTAAATATATTTTCTGGAAATAAAGTTCATTAAGCTTGAAATTAATACTTTTTCTTCTGGAGAAGAAAATCATAGGAAATTAGCCGTAATCAGACGTAGAAATAAAAGAAAGCTGGAGAAATTAAAAAAAAAAAAAAAACTTCAAACATGTTTCTCATATTATGGATCATTACTATCTTTTCGAACATAGATTATTTAGCTAGATTATTTAGCTTCTCCACTGATTTTTTATTACTATGAGTAATTTCAGTTGCTGTTTTAAAGAAATATTTTTCTTCCACACTTTACATTCCATCTCTTGACAAATAAGAGGATATGTTTAGATCTGTTACCCTGAAAAGATATTTTAAGCATTTCAGCATAAATAAATAGTAACTAGCCTAATATTCATAATCGTAAGCTTAATTGCATTAACAGAGTTTAGAAATAATTTGTAAATTATATTGTTTGCTGTTAATTTAAAATTTTATTTTAAAATAACAATAATTTCGTACTGAACTATCATACTATCAATAAACTTAAGATTGCAGCTTCAAATGATTGACATATTGCCATAACTCCTCTTCCGTCGTATTCTGCTGTTGAAATTAAGTTTGGTTTTTGATATCATTCTTTATGTTTGCTTTATAATAAAAGTGTAGCATCTCGTTTTGGATTAGTTTGTCGAATCTTACTCTATTATTTGGAATCTTTATTTTTCGTAGATTTCGAAAAAAAAATCGTAAAGTTCTTCATTCTTTTAAAAAACTTTCCTCGTCATTCGGTCATTTTGCCAATATATTGGATTTTTTTAAAATATTATCTGAGGAAAAACATTTCTATACGATTCATAAAATTCTGTTGCAAATATCAAAGCATATACTCTACGATTACTTTAATAGTTTTGGCAATATCGCACTGTATTCTATAGGATAAATTTGATGGTATCCTAAGTGTTTTTTCATTTGAGCTTTGAATAGCACTTCATTGCATTAAAAATTAAAGAGGTTTGCATTAACCATTTCAACAGTTTTCTAATAGCTTTCGTTTTTTTCTTAGCAGCAAATAAACGTATCTTTTATGTACTTTTAACCATTTTAATAAATTATGTATTTATGCGCTTTCTTAGAGCAGATGCGATAACAAAACATTGAAATAACAACAATTACAAAAGAATCTTACTGAAGAATCCAGTGAAATGTTTTTTAAAATTTATTTGCCGAGTCTCGATGCAAAATAATTCCGAAAAGTAACATTGTTTTTGGTGTAGTTGATTTTGATTGTCGTCTCAGCTGTGTTCAAAGAATTTTGTGACATTATTTTCCTGCTTTTAAAAGAAGATATTAATTTTCATGCTCAATTTTTTTTCCTGAAAGATTTCTGCATTTTTTTAATCATATTTGTTACTTCATCAAAACAATAGGTTAAAAAAAGGACTGAGGGAATAAATACATGTTCCTAAACAAACTTATTATAGTACTTCAATTCAAATTTCTGGTACTATTTTCTGAAATTAAAATTTCTCGATCACATCGTGAAACGCTTTATATATAAGTTTACATAATTTACATTCATTGCATTAAAAAAGCAATTTAAAGAATTCACTTTATAAGAATATTATATAGACCCAAAATGCCTTTAATTTTTTTTAATATTGTATATCGTTTTCATATAGAAGAAAGTAACGATGGAAGATTCTGTACATTTCTTGTACTTAAACTCAGAGATAAATTGAGAACATTTATGAAAGCAGACATTTAGCCCTTTCAACTCTTCATTATCTATGTTTAGTCAACAGGAATTCAACGAGTTATTAAAAGATAACTAGTAAAACAAAACGCGTTAACTAATGTTACAGAGATGTCTCGCTATTTCTGAAAAGATAGTCTACACCATTTCTAAATTTACAAAGTTCTTTTTTAGATTTATAAGCTGCGATTTATAACAAATTTTGGGAACTACACTTAATTTATTTACAGTATTTAAAAATGAGTTAGTTTAGCTGTAAATGTAGATATAAACGAATGGTTTTCTGTATCATTTGCGGGTATAATATCGAAAAAAAAAGTAATGGAGAAAGAATGCTATTATTTATTACAAATTAATAGTAATACTCCGAAACGATTATTTAAATAGATTTTGAATGGAATGTTTAGAATATATTTTTCTTAATGTTAATCTTTAGTAACAAAGTAAAAAACCTCAAAGTAAGAAAAATTTAAGTGCAGTATTATTGCAATAAGAACTTACAATTTTTGCATTATGCTTTGTTTCTTACGAGGAAACAGCGATCTATGAGAAAGAAGAAATACAATTAAAATGGTCTGACTTTTGCTTATACGTTAAGAATATATGTTACAGTTAACTATTATGGTATTCATTTTTTTAAATGCAGATTTATATTATATTTAGTGTAAAAGTTTTTCCCCTTAATAAAAGCAATGCTTAGAGCATTAAGTTACAGATTCAGAAGAAGTGTAAACGAGATCATAAAATCCCGTAGGTTGCTGTAGGTTTGAAAATGCTGCAGGTTTTAGCAAATATATTTAAATAAAAGCTTTAACTTTCGCAGATACTTTTAATTAATCCAGCAGTTTCACGAGTCTTAAATTCATTATATCAATATTTCTTATGTGTAAAAGCATCAGATACAAAAGTCTGAATTTCAGATTATTTTTTAAATAATGAAAAGAATACTTACTTTTCTCTTAGGATCACTGTATGCAGAATGCACGTGAACGTCTTCTTCAGTCATATTTTCTATTTCATCCTGCATGCCTTCCCTAAGTTCTTCCACTTCATCATTTGTTAAAAAATTCTCAATTTTACAGAACCCATTTACTGAGAACTAAAATATAAAAGACCAATTAAATAACCTCAGAAAATAGTTGAATTTTTCGTTTGCAATGAAAAGATAATACTCCTTATAACTATTTTTTATTTAACTACTACTCTGTGAGATTTTAGTTTAAAAAATAAATAGAACCCGACGCAAACTTTAATTCGTACATCTCTAACTAAAGATTTGTAATCCATTGAAATCTTAGAAAAGTTTGCAAACGTCAAACACGTGGATCACGCGAGGGAGACAAATAAACTGTTATGATGAAACACGGCGAGGTCTGTCAATGTTGGGCACCTTCCGTATTTATACCCTAATTAAAAAATGTATACTGTTTTATCTCTTCTACACGTGATTGTCATTCCACCATTATCAAGGCCTTCACAGTATAATACGTTATGTCATTATCTTATCATTAATTCAAGTGGGAATTATCCTATCACTCACAAGATTTTCTAGAAATATTATTCTTGTTTTTGCAAACGGTAGCTTATTCTTTAGAAAGTGTGTTTATTATCAAACTGAATTACGCAGCTCTAGATAAATTTCAGTTTTTCGGGCCTTAATTGATAGGATGACCAGAACCTTCCGGTTCAAGCTAAGACAAAGCAGCTGTTTATATATATATATATATATATATATATATATGAAAATCATTTTCTACTGTAGTAAATTTTTAATATCACACAGGTATGTTTCTAATCATCCTTTAATTATCAAACTCTTTATTTTAAGAAAAAATTCTCTCTCTCTTTTTTATTTCATGACTGCACTCTTCGTTTAATTCGCCTGCGTAACATTTTTTAAATACATGGTTTTCACTATATCAACGTAAGTTGAGCTTTTTTAATCACTCAAAAAATAGGAAAAATCTTGATTTTTTTTTTTTTTATTTTTTTATTTATTTTTTTTTTTTTTAGTCGTCACAATTTCTTACAGTACAACATTTTGCAAAATAATTTCTTATCTGATAACTTATAAAGAATTTTCTTCCTCCTTACAGTGTATTTTACTGGAGTAATTGGTAGCATGCCTGGCTAACAGTCGGAAAGCCCGGAGGAAAGTCCTAGCGAGGGCATTGCTCATCTTTCATGTTACCTATTCTGAAATAAATTTGACTCTATAAGCGAAACTCGATCAATTCTCTTAGATGTACTGTGGTGCGTGTAAAAAGAGCAGAAACCCAGTACAACCACAGTAGTTCCTCCGCAGGCGGGTATACTCCAAGTGCGCGATTCATAATTTCTTCCCTCCCCGTCTGGGGATACTCCAGCTACGCAAATCAAAATTTCTTTCCCCCGTTGCTTACATGGTTACAGTTTTACTCTTCGAAGCCAACTGTAGCCAAAAGGAAAATAAAAATAAAGAACTAGAATTACATATCACAATCACAAGTAAAGAACATCTAACAAGCAAGCTAATTACTTGAATAACAGTAATAAATGCGAAAGCTAACAAAAAAATAAAAGGTATTAGTAAACATACATATTATCATTACAAACGTATTTCATTAATTACAATATTAGAGCAAAAGGTATTACAAAAACATCATAAATTAAATAATTATAAAGCATACCAATTATATTTTTTTAAATTACATCAAAAATAGTCATGACGTCTGAACTAAACTGCAAAATTTAATATAATTCACTGGCGTTCAAAAGATTATTCCGTATCCAAGCGTGTTAAAGTATGCTAGAAATATTTTTTGTTCCCTTTCAGGAGCGCAATGTTATAATTTTTTAAAATTTATGAAAAAGTAAGCACAATGACATGCAATGGTCCTATAGACAACATAAATGAGTGTAAAAAAATTTTTTTCGTCCCCTTTTATGGAAAGGGGACCGGTTTCGCCTTGAAACCAGCGCCCGTCTAGAGCATTTAAGACTAAGCATTTGCTTATTTATCTTTACTTTGCTGGAAAGTATTTGAACGTAACCCACATTGCAGATTATACTAGTAAATTACTGAACAACTAATGAAGTAGTAATATTTGCATAAACACGCATTTTTAATTATAAATAAAAAATTTAAAACAGGAAGAGACAAAAAGTAACTAACAATGCACTAAATTACTTACATAAAACTATGAAATATTTTTAAAAATTATGTTAAAAACTAAGATATGTGGAAATAAAATAAATTTAGATGTATACAAATATTTTACTATGAACTAAATGGATGAGAAAAGCGACGGCTAAGAGAAGCAGAATAAAAACGCAATTGTGAGTGTTCTTCAGTGTGCTCTGTGTCTCTGTAAAACAAGGATGTCAAACTCGCGGCCCGCGGGCCGCATGCGGCCCACAACAAATATTTTTGCGGCCCGGCCAATATATCGGCAAATAATAATATATAATAATAAAATAACATATCGACGAAGAAAAAAATGAAATGTTTCCTGCTAAGTAATTAACGATAATTTATTAAGTGTTGTTAGATTACTCACAGCGAGCTGACACACACACTACTTAAATTACAAATGCGTGTGCGTAGCTTGCGTTCAGCTACCTTCGGCTTTTGGGGGACACGTTCCCTCGAAGACAAATTTTTTTTTTGTTTTCTTCGATTTTCTCAATAAGTATTGACTCAGTACCTAGCCATATGCAAATGGAGGTGATCGAGATTCAGTGCAACTCAAATTTGAAAGCAAAATTCATTGAAGTGGGCGTGCCTGAATTTTACAAATATTTACCAGCCAGGTTTGAAAATACTCGAAAATTCGCATATGAAATTATTTCCGTGTTTGGTAGCACTTATCGGTGCGAGCAGTTATTTTAAGTCATGAAAGGTAATAAGTCTCCTAGTAGAAACCGTATTAATGATGCTCACCTTGGGTCAGCGTTGAAAGTTATCATTGCAAACAAAATTTCTCCCGAAATAGGAAAGATAATAGCAGAGAAGAGATGTCAAGTATCAGGACGTAAACATAAATATTTCTTGTTCTTTTCTGTATAAATATATATATATGTTTATTATTGTATTATTCGAAATAAATATACGTTTCTATGAATATTGATTTTTTTTTTTTTTTTTTTTTTTTTTTTTTGCGGCCCGCCTAAAGTTAAACCTTGTTTGTTTAGCCCAAGTGTACCTATGAGTTTGACATCCCTGCTGTAAAAAATAAGAAATGTTTTCCCTCTCTCAATAGCTCCATAAATCCTCATCTTTGAAGCCACTCAAACGAAGATATGGTGCAACTGGTTTCATACTGAAACCGCGCTGAAAACATTCAAAATTAAAAGGGTTCCATTCCTTTTTTTTTTTTTTTTTTTTGTGAACTAAGGACATTTCATTAATCATTGATGCCTGCTTATAAAATATATTGTGGAAAAATTAAAAATTGTAGTGTTTTTTGTTCTTAAAATAGCCCTAAAAGAACAGTGACAAAAACAAGGTATTTCTGAACGATTCGTATCAATTAATGGATGCCCAAAAAAGTTTAGTGCTGCCATCTGTTATCAGCTTTAAGAAGTAATTTAATTTTAGCAGCGGTTTTGAGAAAATGAAACCAAATTTTCTAAATTAAAAAAAAATGTTGAAAATGCTGTTTCAAGGCGAAACCACCGCCCCTGAAAGGGTTAAAGTAATCATGTAAATGTTTACAGAAATTAATGGTTAAATTAAAAAACAAACTTAACATGAAATCTATTATAACAACATTACTATGCGTTTGGAACACTGAAGTATAAATTTTAAACAAATTTAAATTATTATGCTAAGAAGACTTTTCGAAAATTTATGTAGAAGAAAAGAATTACATAAACAGTACTGCAAATTAATATAATTAATCAGGCCTCTCAATAAATAAAAGCTTATTTTTTAACCAAAAATTAAAAACTGGGATGCAAATGTTTATGTAATATACTTGGAAATATCTGAACATATAATTAATGAGAAATGTGTAATTAAATTAATAACAAGCTAATTAACAACAATATTAAGCTTAGTTTCATTCAATATAAAACAAACAATCGATCAGGAGCTCCGCATAACTGAAGTTTTATTGCTATTTTACGTAGATTTACGTATAAAATAAAAGTTGCACTTGTGAAACAAGCGAATATTGTACTGATAGTCAACAGAATTTAAAATATAGTGGTTAAAAATATGACTACTTGTCAGAAGGTATGCATAGTTGCTATAGCTAGAAAAATTGAATGATTAGAGAAAATTCATATAATTAAGGGCTAATTCATATAATTCATATAATTGTGAAGAGAAAATGCTGAAATAAACATGTTAAGAAAATTAGATTGAGAAATAATCCTTAATTTATTGATATCCATATAAATTCTATGCTTTTGGAAAAAGTTACATATAATTTGCACCGAGGTATCAATCACAGAAACCGAGTTATTTTCTTTACTTATTTTTTTTTAATTAAAGAGATATGCTAAGGTAAAAGTGAAAATTTTTGCAGTGTTTTTAAAGAACCAATTTAAAAATTATTTCTACTTCATGAACTGAAATTTTTACAATACATTTTTCCACATTAAATAAGTGAAAAAAAAAAAAAAAAAAAAAAAAAAAAAAAAAAAAGAGAGAGAGAGAGAGAGCTGGGGAATCTCTGGGATTAGAAACCCGGGTCGAACTACCAATGTTTAGCGATTTTTTCGCTTGATCGTAAGACCTTTTGAAATTAGACTGAACAAAATATTAAAGAAAGTAGAAGCTACAGCACATGTAAGAACAAAAGTGGGCTGATAAAATTATAGATTTTCATGTTTGGTGAATGAATTAAACTTATCTGTATGCCGTTATAAAATATTAGGAATGTAGCATAAAAGCATCAATGAAGAAGGCAATGGCAATCTGAATCATTATAATCTAAATGTATAACATTATCAGTATCAACTATTAGTTTCAATACTGCTGAAAAAATTATAAATGAATTATAGTGCAAATCACATGAACTCGTTGCATTATAAATTACAAGAGTTGAAAATATTATTAGCGTGATTTAGCGACTATCTTTGTTTGCAAATAATTACAAATAATTAATTTTACAAATAATTTAGCCTGAAACTAGATTGGAAAATAATTTGCGTGCTGAAGATTAATCTTTACCAAGGTGTTAGAAACATCTTCTGTTAACTAGAGTTATGATGCAAGAATTTATAAAATTATCACTTGAATATAAATTGGTATAAACACATACAAAATATATAAATTCTACATACATGAAAACTTGAATACAATGCAATATTAAAAAGGAATGGATTAAAAGAGAACTGAAAATCCCAAGATATAAATATAAGGAAGTTCGAATTCTTTTGTTA